CTTTGAAGGAAATTAGGAGGGGAGCTACCCAGAGAAGGGCCTTTTCGGCAGTGGCACTCCGACTTTGGCCCATGTGCCCCAGGGAGGTTCCCCTGGCACCATCGCTTTATTCTTTTTAGCATCAGGTGGAAACCTTTTCATTTCCCCAACATTTTAATATTTAATTGGTTTTATCTTTGATTTTATCACTAATGGTCGGATGTAGTATGTTCTTTGTTGGATTGTTGTTTTTTCATAAGCCATCCAGAGACTGTGATATTGGGTGGCATATAAAAACTTCAAATAAAGTGCACAACTGGACAAACCCTGAGCAGGTGTGGATACGCAGCTCATCTCCCACAGTCACCCCACCTGCAGGTTACATAACCCACAATAAGCTGTGGCATGTCACCCAAACCAATCAATGTGGCATTGGCTTTCATGCATTATGCTCAGGGCTGGCCCTCCTCCGGGGGAGGGGGGCGTGAGGCCTTAGGGAGCGGGAATTAAATAACCAACAATTCTTTATTGCATGTTAAGTTGCAATCTAGGAATTGCATTCAGGAATGAGAGAGGTGGCTGTGGGATTTTCTGCCTCATGCGTCAGCAACGCTCAACTCATTTTGAGTTTGTTGTTGTTAGCCACAAAGTTGTGCCTGACCCATCATAACCCCATGGACAACATTCCTCCAGGCTCTCCTGTCCTCCGCCATCCCTCAGAGTCCACCCAAGCCCACACCCACTGCCCCAGTCACCCCACTCAAGCCACCTCAACCTCTGCCATCCCCTTCTTTTGCCATCAATCGTTCCCAGCATTGGGCTCTTCTCAAGGGAGTCCTTCCTTCTCATTAGGTGGCCAAAGCATTTGAGTTTCATCTTCAGTATCTATCTGGGAGGGCTGAGAGAATCATTTGCAGCTCTGCAACGACAGCAAAACATCTCGTGGGAGCTCTGAAGGGAGCCTACCTCAACAGGCTGATGACACATTACTGCTAATTTGCAGGCACATGGAGCGAAAGGGGTGTGGCAGATACAGTGGGGTCCATTAACCATGAACTGCAAAAATTACAGACTGTAATCACTTTATTTATTTACATCCCATCTCTTTCCCCCAAGGCATCCAAGGCAGCTTATATGATCCTCAGCTGCTTCTCTGTTTTACTCTCACAAGTGTGCGAAGCAGGTCAGGCTCGTAGTCGGTAACAGCCCGCCCTCCCCATCACCCTGTGAGTTTCATGGCTGAATGGGGAATAAGAACAAGAACACAAGAAAAGCCGGGCTGGATCGCACCAAAAGTCTAATTAGTCCAGCACTCTGTACACACCATGGCAAACCAGCCTCCCACAGGACCCCTCCAGCAGGCCGTGTGCAAGACCCCAGAGTCCCAGCCTAACATTCTAGACCCGAACCACATGCTATTTACAGTGCAAGATAAGCAAAATGTTAATTGGTGACACTATATAAATTACTAATACAGTGGTACCTTGGCTCACGCATGCCTCAGTTCACGACCAAATCAGGTCGCAAACAGAAATTTAGGAAAAAAATTTCCTCAGGTCACGAACTCCGCATCAGGTGACGATCATGGGTGCGCTCGGGGGTGGGGGGGGGGGAGATGGCTGCGATCACACCTCTCCCCCACACCCCAGTGCGTCCATGATTGTGCCTGTCTTCCCTGTGATTAAAAAAACATTTACAGAACGGAGTAACCTTATTTACATTGAACCTTGTGGGGCAATTTGATTTGGCTCACAACCAATTTAGGTCACGACCAGAGTTGTGGAACAGATTAAGTTCGTGAGCCAAGGTACCACTGTGTATTTTCTTACCATTCCCAAAGGTCATTTGATGGTTTGTATTAGACCACAGCCACTTGAACTTACACATGTGCAAACCATCACTTTAACAAAGTTGTCTTATGTGAAATCAAGAATCCTGCAAATTGAAAAAACTTACCATGGAATTTTTTTCTTATTCAGAATGTTTTGAGTTGGTGTTCAGAATGTCCACAGTTTAACCCAAATATCATTCTGGGTTTTATCTCTGCTGGATAGTCTGGCAGTGAATATGGAAGTATGTTCTTATATGTACTGGCAAGAGCCCATATCATTTCCCACTTTCTGAAACAGCAGCGACTTTAGATTCTTCCCATCTTCATTTAGTTTCTCTCTGAAATGGTTCTCATCTGAAACACTCCCTTCTTCTGCAGAGAGAGTTGCCAGATGTATATGGGGAGAAAGCCATGCTGAATATCCAAAGGACATAACAACTTCATACAGAAATGATGATTGCTAAAAGTCACATCAAAATTATGAGATGCCCTTAGAATTCTCAGGATAGATGAAAAACATTGAAGCAAAAACGTTTCTGCTCCTGCAGAAGTACAGGCACCAAGATAACAACCACACTGGGCTATAGTGCCAGGCAATCTCACAGTGATAATGGGTTATCATGTATGACACAGCATGTGTGAGCCTGGTGTACTTTAGTTCGCAGGTGATGTTCATCTTTTCACAGAAATACTGGTATGTGGCACAAAACTTCAATGCACAGTAAGCTCTGTACTCAAGGAAGGGAAAGGACATCATTGCATTAATCCTGCTTCTGTCAACCTCAAAGATCCAGCCCACACTCTAAAAATAACCCTTGGGGGAAAGCTGCCCTAAATAACAATTCCAACATTCTCATTAAGGCAAAACCTTTCTTAGGCCAACTCATCGGTCACAAATAGTGTGCAAGCTTTACAAGTTCTCCAAAACTCTCTTCACCAGGCTAGGTGTAAAACAAAACAAAAATAATTGTGGGAGAAGGGAACATCGGCCAACATTGCAGCCACAGAGTCTATACTGAGTCTAGGGTACAATCGGATGCATGCTTAGACAGAAAAAGAGAGTCCTGCAACTCCCAGTGTTGGCTGAAGCAAGCTAAGAATTGTAGGACTTCTTAAGCATCAATCTCAAATTACACTCTATAAGAAACAGAGATAGGCTGATCCTTTTTCCTTTCTAGAAAATCCAGCTGTTACCTGGATCTGTCTCTCCTTAGGCAACACACAAAGGTTCCTTCATAGATGGCAAGCAGAAGCAGAAAGAAATTACTTTTCATATTGACAAAGCTAAAGATTAATATGGTGTACTAGGTAAAATTCAGCAAGAGCCAACTTAGGTACATAAGAATATCACCATATTATTTATTAAGCTTGTATATACTGCACTAATAGTGCTGTAGGACTCTCTCACCATGAGGAGCCATGCTACCTCAGATCAAGGTTCTCTGCCCCATCCAGCACGCTGTTCCCACATTCTTCGTGAACATGCATGAGCCTTTGATCTCTTTTGAAGCTTGCACCTGTCCTCTTCATAGGATGGCCTGCCTGGGTTCTAGTAATATGGGAGAGAGAGAAAACTGTCTCCTTATCCACTTGCTCCAGACCACAATTTTGTACACACACACAGACACACACTCAGTTTGTCTGCTGTATCTACTTCTGGGTTTTGTCAGAATTGAGATTTGAGCACTTCATGAGTGAGTACCTGCTCTCCTGCTACATGAGCTCTAAGGGGTACTGTGATATAGCAAAATACAGTGGTACCTCGGCTCACAAACGCCTCAGTTCATGACCAAATTGGGTCGCGAACAGAAATTTCATAAAAATTTTGCCGCAGGTCGCGAACTCTGCATTGGGTGATGATCACGATTGCAGCTGTCTTTCCTGCACGGGCGCGATCGCGGTCATGCGGGGGGCAGGGGGGAGATGACCGCGATCATGCTCGTGGAGGGGGAGATGGTTACGATCGTGCTGGGGGGGGGGGGGGAGATGGCCACGACCATGCCCGTCTCCTCCCCAGCATGCCTGCAATTGTGCCCGTCTTCCCTGTGATTAAAACAAATATTTACAGAACGGATTAAACTTATTTAATATAAATATCACAAATAAATATTTACATTGAACCCTGTGGGGAAATTTGACTTGGCTCATGACCAATTGGGTCGTGACCAGAGTCGTGGGACAGATTAAGTTCGTGAGCCGAGGTACCACTGTATCAGAAGAAACTGCACTTTCTTTCATTTTCACTGAATGCCACATTACGTTGCATGGACTGTACCAGAAGAATAGTGTGGCCATTATGATTCAACAGGTAGTATAGTGAACTTTCCCAGCAGCTAAAAGCCAGGATAGTTTTTCTAGACCCACACCAAGGCTTTATGCTCCCATAATACTAGAACCCAAAGTCATCCCATGAAGCAGCCTGATCACAGATGCAAATAAAAAGAATTCCTTCTCCACACAGAATTCACTTCCACAGGAAGTTGCGCTGGCCACCAATTTGGACGGCTGTAAAGGGCGACTGCATGAATTCACGGAGAAGCCTGTCTTGGTGGCCTGCTTGCGGGATCCCGGGGCAGCCGCTTGACCACTGCGCGAACAGGATGCGGGGCTCAGCGGACCCTCGTTCTGATCCCGCCGGGCTCCTCTTACCCGCACCCCATTTGTAAAACTGGATGTGCGGTCCGGCGGGTGGGCGCAGCGCTCGTGGACAACAAGCCAGGGGGATCGCGTCACTTCGACCCCACGGGCAGCCGCGCGCTGAAACAGAGGGCTCCCCAAACGCGTCGGGCTGCTCCAGATTCGGGGCTAACACCGCCCCCGCCGAGGAGGCCAAGGCCCCCGCCACGCCCGCCGCCGCCCCGTGCCTCCCCTGGCCCCGGGCGCGCTCGCCGCGGCTTCACGGGCTGGGCTGGGCTGGCTGGGCTGGGCGCGGCGCCGGACGGCCCGCCCCACGCCGCTCCCGCTTCGGCCCGCCCCGCGCCCACTTCCTGGTCTGGGCGAGGACCGACGCCGCGGGCCGCCTGAGTGGCAGCGCGCGCGGCCAGCGAGCGCGCGCGCGGGGCCGCCGCGGGCCAATGGGAGAGGCGCAAAGCGCCGGCCCGAAACGAGGCCGACGAGCAACTCCCTCGGCCGGTGCCCGCAGCCGGCGCGCCCCGCTGCCCGAGCAGCCCGCGGGCGGCGGCGGCGGCGCGATGCGGGGTCCGGCGGCGGCGCTGCGCGAAGTGCTGCGCGACTTCCTCTCCTTCCACCGCGCGAACTGGGCGGAAGGGAAACTTTCGGTCTGCAACGAGGCGGCGGTGACGAGCCCGGCCCGGCGCCTGCTGGCCTCGGGCGCCGGCTTGCCCGACGGCTGGGGGAGGTGGGACGTGTACGGCATCGCGGAGAGCTGCCTGGCCATGAAGGGCGAGCGCGGCGCGGTGGTCTTCCGCAAGCTGGCCCGGGCCTTCGAGTTCCTCGAGCTCGTGTGCGCCAACCTCTTCCTCTCGCCGTGGAGGAGGGAGATCAAGTCGCTGAAGGTAGGTCGGGGGAGGCGCGGGAGCCCCCTGCGCGCTCCTCCTCCCCTTTTCAGCCTGAACAGCCCCGGGGAGTAGGCGAGGGACTGGGAACGCCGGGTCAGAGCCGTGCGATATTTTTTTTTTCGATTTATATCCTGCCTTTTTCCTCAAAGGGCTCAAGGCAGCTTACATCATTCTCCTCCATCTTATCCCCACAACAACAACCCTGTGAGGTAGGTTGGGCTGAGAGGTTGTGACTGGCCCAAAGTCACCCAGTTGGCTCCATGGCTGAGTGGGGACTCGAACCCAGATCGCCTGAGTCCCAGTCCCATGCTCTAACCACTACACCACACTGGCTCTCAGGTGCTCCATCGTGCCATTCGATCATGCTGAGGTGCCTTTTCGTGCCCCAGCCCAGGGGGCCGCCTTGACTTGGCAGCAAAGGGCCGACAAGGTTGGTGCCTGGCAGGACTCGGCAGGGCGATCATTTCACGGTTGTGGGGCTGGCACCCAAGAAGGCCCTCCCCCTTGTTGCTGCCCTCTGAGCATCCCCACAATTGGCACTTCAAAGAAGGCCTCCAAGGATGACTGTAATGTCCAAGTACATTGCATTTGGGAGAGGTACTCTGTGAACTTTCGCAGTAAAAATAAAAACATTAAAAGAGTGAAATACAGTATTAAAAAGGAAATATCAATAAAAAGGACAAATGGCCAAGAAGTCTTCCTGAAATGAAGATGGTTTCTACATGCTGAAATAGCTTTCAGCTTTTAGAGTTGTATTTTCAAGGTGGGTAGACCATGACCTTGTTTATTGCCAGAAAAATGGCAAAAGGTTTTGGAGCAACTTAAACCAACCTTCCCTGGCCTGGTACCTTCCAGATGTGCTGAACTACAATTCCTAGCATGCCCTATCAAGCCATGCTGGGGCACAAGCTGCAAAAGCTCCCTTAAAGACTAATGACACAGCCCTGTGCATTTTTCATGGGGGGGGGGCATGCTTGGAGTTGCAAGACTGACATTTTCCCTGTTCTAATGTACATGGGGAGGAATTGCAGAATTTCGTACTGGTTGCAGTGTAATAACCTGGCCCAGTCACTGTATCATCAGGCTGGGTGACTCATGCTGTTTGTTTAGTTTCCATTTACTGAAGTGGAACTATGTTGCAAATCTTCCTGCCTGCAAAATATTCCATTCACTCTGCAAGCAGTAACTTTAGGAACTGAACTGTGGAACCACAGGGAACAGTGTTATCACTGGCAAGTGATTAGTTGAGGAAGTGTGCAGTCCAATACGGTTGCCCATGACTTTGAACTCAGAGGATGAGGAGAGTCCTGTCGAAGATGGAAGGAGCAGCAAGGTGCAGATCCCTTCTCTGCTTCTCCCACCCCACAAAACACCTGCATGGTTGCTTTTGGCCAGCTCGAGTCAGAACCCTGTGCAAACTCAAACAGAAAAGAAGGCATGCCAAGCATTGCAGGCCTTTTTCTGTCTAGCCTCAGATAGGATTCTGCCTTAAGTGTTTCATGCCTACTCAAAAGGAAGATGAACTTGGGCTCTGCCAGGATACTTGGTCTCCAGGGGAGGCTCGTGCACGGGCCACCCCAAAGCCAGCTCAGAAGCTGCTCATGCAACCTCTGAGCCACGCTGTGTGTGGAAAGACTGGCGCTGGCTGCAGGGAATGGGTGTTTGAGGTCAGAGAATACAACCTGGAGCTCCAGCCTTTCCTCAACTAGACAGTGTCTCAGGGCCACAAGATTGTGTCCTAAATTACATTTTCCCATGGCTACAAGTGTAGATGCTTGCTGCAAGCATTCTGTCTTGTTCAAAAACTCTCCCTAAAGGGGCAATACCAAAAGTGGGGCAGATTTAATATAGTCAATTAATAAGCATGCCTTCTCAATCCAAAGCACTCTTACTTTTTCCTATGGAAATAATTGGGTGTAGCTGTTAAACAACTTCCAAGATCTTTTCCTATATTCCAGTAATTTTGTGGCCCATACTAAATAAACTCAAGAGTCCCGTTTTGCAACAGGGCCCATTGAACTAAGGTTTCTTTGGCAACAGTGATGCTGATAGAAGTGGCATTGCCATGTCTCCATAGTTGTGGTGTAATATTCGCAAGTTCTCACGGCATAGAATGCAGACCTCATGTCACAGCTTCGCAGATACACCCACCATTTTTCCTAGCCTGCCATGGGAAAGGCCTCTCATTTACTGGACTGCTGGTGGACTCTCAGAGGAAGGGCATTTCTACATTGGGTACAGTAGAGATGGTTTTGTATCTCTGGTGGCACACTTGGTTTCTATGCTGAATGTGCTTGCATGCACACAATTCCAGGTTGCCAATGACGGTCAAGCAAGGGCATCAATACAAGGGTTCCCTATTCTAGGATGTCCAACCATGCAGTCCAAGCTTGTAAACTTTGCTGTGAAGCAGTGAAAAGGCTTTCCCCAGAACTCTCCCTGTAGAAAGGGGCACACCCCAGTGCTTAAGTCATGTGAGAAAACATGGGGGAAAGCTAATGAGAGTTAAGCCCCTTCCTCATCTTCTCCTTCAGTTTAGCCACACCATCCCCCTAGTGGCTAAGAAGCTATCTTGAAGACTAAGGAGACTGGGTCCAGTCTGAGCCCCAGTAATTCTTGCACTTGTACTGTCCAATGGAGTTAATAACGACAGTGGTGCCATCAAGACAGTCTAGGTTGCTACTTAGGAGAATGAGCAGGAGGTCCCCCCAGCACAAGCCAACTGACTTACCAAATTTTGAAATCAGTGATGTAATATAAAGTGAAGTCAGAAAGAAGGCAGGAGCTGTAAGACCACTGAAGTCCAGAGTTAAAGATTAGCTAACTGCCTGACTTTTAAAAATTAGGCTAACACAGCTTAACCGTGTGCCAGCACTTGTTTTGCTGAAATTCCATTTGATGGAAAAGAACGGTGCTCTGGTTTGTCTGTCCTTTTGATTAGAAACTTATTTCTGCAACTGCTATAAATGGCAACAGCACTCCAGAGACCATGCTGCTAGGATTATTTGTTCCCTAGCAAGAGTGGGATCCAAGTTCTTTGCCCCAAAAGCTGTATTTTTCATTCTTTGTAATTAAACTTATTCCTTACTATTTGCTATTATTATTATTATTATTATTATTATTATTATTATTATTATTATTATATTCTGTTTATTGGAAAGGGATCAGTGCTGAAGCTCTATGTCTTAACAATAAGGGCTAAAAATCTTTCTAGAGCTATAGAACTTCCCCAAGCAATTCTTAACCAGATCCCAAACATTTGCAGAGTTTGATTGTCATTGTCCAAAGCATCAGATTATTGCAGCTGTTGGTTGAATGTTTGCCTGCCACTGAAAGTTCTCACCAAAATTTTTCGGTGTCCTGTTACACAAAGGAAGAAATTCTGGGGTGTATCAATGCATGAACTTGATAATCAGTGCAAATGAGGAGCTGACATATGAGAGAGGGTTTGCATGAGGGATTTGGCGAGCAGAACGGGGGAAAGAAAAGAGTGGTTACACACAAATTGGAAGTATCTGGGGTGGCTTGACGGGGAGGCCACATTCTAGCCTTTTAAAAAATGTGTTTCGGTGGAAAATGAAGCGAGTTAGGAAAGAGGGGAAAAAGACTGATCCCTTGGAATGTACGCATGCCGCCTGTGGTTCAAAATGGTTATGCACCCCTCTATTCATTGCACCTCTGATACCAGGGAGGCAGCATGGGCCCTTGAGCACATTTGGCCCCTGTGAGCCGCATCAGTGCTGCAGCATCTGAACCATCCATACCCACGGAGCCCCTAATGTGGCACTCAGGGTGGCACTCATGAAACACGCCTGGCTGCTCAAGGAGCTGGTCCACGCTCTTGAGGACTATAGGATTGCATCCAGTCTGTAGGATGGTGCTCTTGGAGGACACTGGGTTCCTGTGATTGGTATCAGTGCTGCAGCACCATCCTCCATGTTTAGCACAGGTTCACATAGTCCCGAAGTGACCCAGAACAGGCAGTGCAGGTTACACGACAGTCTGCCCACTAAGTGGACCTTGCTTGTCGAGGACTTCCCCTGAGTGAGCGAGTTAGTTAGTTTATATAAATATCTCAGGATGGCTTACAACAATTTAAAAGAACAATTTAAAAAAAATCTAATAACATCCAATAACAATTAAAACAACAACACGGTGTAGTACAATAAATAAACACTAAATAAATCAGATTAAGTCAAAACAAAGCAAAAGCAACTTCAGAACCATTAAAATTATTAATTTTTAAAATACCACTTAAACAAAAAGGTTTTGACCTGGTGGTGAAAAGAGTATAAGCTCAGCGCCAGGTGTACCTCTCTGGGGAGCACATTCCACAGTCTGGGCGGCACTGCAGAGAAGGCCCTAATCCAAGTTGATGTCCTTTTTACCTCTTTTAGAGAGGGTTCCCAGAGCAGGACTTCTCCCGCAGATCTTAAGGGACATGAGGGCATATAAGGAAGGAGACGTTCTTTCAGGTATCCTGGTCCCAAGCCGTTTAGGGCATTATAGGTCAATGGACTATTGTCCATTTTGGCTGATTGGCATGGTAGTCTGAACATCTAGAGCAGGGGTGTCCAACCTATGGCCCACAGGCCGCATGTGGCCCAGGATGGCTATGAGTGCAGCCCAACTTACTTAAAACATTGAGATTTTTTTTTTTTTTTTTGCAATTGGGGGGGGAGGGGACTCGATTGTGCAGTTCTCAAGCATTAACTTCGTTGTGTTGCAATGTCACATAAAATAAATGTACATATGCTCTTGCTATTTGTACACATGGTGACAGATACCACGAAAATTATGCACAGATTTTTATTTTTTTTTTTGCTCATCAGCTTTTGTTAGTGTTTGTGTATTTAATGTGTGGCACAGGACAATTTTTCTTCTTCTAATGCAGCCCAGGGAAGCCAAAAGGTTGGACACCCCTGATCTAGAGGGTAGCAAATTGGAGAATATCCAACATGGACCTTGGTGTGAATGTGCCACTGGCACATTTGCACACATTTTGAATGTCCCACATCTAGTTTTTTCTTCACTAAACTAGGCTGGATAAAACTGGCCATAATTTTTTAAAGGCATTAAACACTTCATTTTGTTGAGGTCCTGTTCCACAATAGGTATGTGACTGGCCACCTTGTTTCTGGCGCAGAAAACGGAAAAATGGGAAGGCACCAAATTGAAGGAGCAGGAGGGGAAAATCTTGAGTGCCACACATTCTAATTAGGAACCCTTGGGAAGGACTGCCTTGAGTCCTAGGTTTGCTGCAAAAGGGTTCTTAGGGCCAAACTCAAGTTGGGTTTGCCCCAAGGGTTGCAAGCCACAGTGGGGAATGGGGTGTGCTAACTTTTCCCATCCTTGTGTTTCCCCTCCCCAGACTTTTACAGGAAACTATGTCTACTACGTACAGTCTGTTCTCCCAGAAGGGGTGGTGCAAAGACTGCTGAAGGAAATAGGTTACGTCCCAACCACGGCCACTGAGTTTTCACTGGTGAGGAAGCCGGATGAGGGGGAAGCCGAGCAAGCAGCCTTTGAAATATTCCTTGCCAGACTCGAATGCGAGGATCTCCTTGACATGGCTGAAGATGTGAGGGACAGTGATTTGGGGGACATACTGCAGAAGAGAGCCCAAAGGCGTTGGCATCCTGCAGGGAACCTAGCTGGAAAGGCCCCGCCTTTTCTGGGAAAGGAAAATGTGGTTGTTGGAGGAAGAAACGAAAGGCAAGGAGGCTTCAGTCCTCCACAGACAGATGTGGCCCCCAGCAAATTGACTTTTGAAGAAGCCAAAAACACAGAGCTCAGAAGTGAGCTTGGCCTCCAGTGCACCACAGCGGAGCCTCGGGCAGCCCCTTCCAAATGTGTCTGCAAGCAAAATGCAAACCAATGGATCCAAGCAGGTGCCTCAACAGGCTGCCCTGTCAAAGGCTCCGATAGTGAGGATTTCCTGATTAAGTATAGTGACCTTGTCATTGGCCAGAAGCCTCTCCACTTTGCAGATGTCCCTCCCAAAGCATCAGATGATGCAACTCCAAACACGGGAGTCATGGGGACAAAGCTAGGGCTACCAACAAACGGGGCACCCTCCCTCACTCTTCTGTCCCCCAGTGCAAGCGGCCCGCAGGCTTTAGCCATACTGAATGATGTCACTTTAGAAAGCAAGGTCCCTTATGACTATGGAAGCCCAGAATCTTCCACAGAGACCATTGAATCCAAAATCTGTGGTGCCATGAGGTGCCTGAACCTTCACAGAGCAAATCTAATGGACCATCCCCAAGAATTGAAAGGGGACAACATGCAACATGACAACCACCATGCGGGGCACAGCTGCTTGAGGGAAGAGAGACCCACTGACTTGTCCTCAAGTGAGAAGACGCAGTCCAAGAAAGACTGTGTGGAGAGACTTGTGCATCCTGTAGAGGAAACGGCACAAACAGAGTCCAGAGGAAGCAAGGGGAGAGCCAAAGATTTTAGTCATTCTCAGATGAAACTTGCAGATCTGCCCGGTGGCACCAGGGAAGGCTTTCATGTCGACCTCTATTCATCAGACCTCTTCTGCAGCATTGCTGGTTGTGGCTGTACCATGGCTGGTTCAAACTACAGCAGGCCTCTGGCAGGCCTTCCAGGAGCATGTGATGCTGGACAGTACTGCAGGCATTGCCAAGAGTTGCTCAGGTCAAGCCACCCCTTGGCTCAGTATCACAGCAGCATTCCAGCCAGAGTGCCATACAGAGAAGGCTCTCCTTTCCAGTTCTCCTTCTCAGACTTCCAGTCTTGTGTTGCGCCTGTGACTGAAACTAACCCAGAGGGTTATGTCATCATCAACAAGGAGCACTAAGCCGCAAGGGCAACTGGTGCCCGTACATTCCAAGTTTGCAATGTCATTTATGGGCAAAAAGAAAAATGTGTTCAGCAGCACATTTGAAAAATGCATCCTTTTGAAAAAAAAATACTTTAATCGATACAAGAAAATGCATATTTCAAAAATGCACAGAACTGTAAACTTACAAAAATACGTACAGGAAAAAAAACCAAGACTTGCAATCTGTTACAGATGGAGCAAGCTTTAAGATGCAGTTCAGAGAACCTTGAAAAGCTTGAGCTTTGCTGATTTGCGTAGGCCTAACTATGCTTGCTGCAAACGTTTGAAAAGTTACATCCATGAAAAAGCATCCTGGGAGTGAGTGCTGTTTCCTGGGCTAACCTGACACAAGGCAGGCCACTTGGTAATGTCATTAAATTAACTAGATTATAAAAACCTCTGATACAAATTTGTATCTTGCTCTGCCTCAGCTCAGTGTGGGTAGAGTGTATTTGAATTAAATCCCAAGGATGGTCCCTCTAGAGGGGTGTTTTTTCTTGTGATTGTATTTCAGATGTTGTCTGTTCAGCTAAAAAGAAGCATAAATCTGCTAGTATACTTCTAAAATCATACTGTTCCAATGAATAATTAAACCAGTTTTCAAACTGTTCCATTTAATCTGAAAAAGAACAAACCACAAGATGTCTTTCAACATCACTAGGTGTTTAATAAAGAAGTAAGAAGAGGAATGTTAGAATGTGACTCTTCTAAAGGATGGGGCAAAAATGCTTCAGTAAATAAAATAGCTTTTGACTTCTGTCTCCTCCGTTCATTTCTTTCCATACTGCAGAACTGTAGTTTTATGAAATGCCAAGGTTACTTTCCAGAAACAATTCTGAACAGTACATTTTACACACATCATAGCCATCTGTACAAAAATGCATACTTTAAAAAAATCAAGTAAACTCAATTATTGTTTCGATACAACATGCACACATCTCCCAAAGGGGAAACACGTTCTTTACAGTAATTGCTTAAACTTGCACCCACATCTGTACATAGAGTTCAGAACAGTATCAGGGTTGGAGCCACAATGAAAGGCAGCCTTTTTAAACACACATGCTCTCAGACGGTCATCTTGTGACCTGGATCAATACAGGCCATTGAACAAATACGCCTGTTCAGGTCATGAAGGCATCACAGTAGATGATGAACATATGCAAATAACCAGTCTAAATAGATCATCTCATGATGTGTAGGTGGGGGAAACCCAAGGAATACAAGGTTCTAAATCTGAAATTACTAAGTTCTAAGTTCTAAATCTGAAATTACTCAAATGTCTGGATTACTCAGGCATTATATGTGAGATGTTTTTAGAACTACGCAATAGTGCCACTTACAATTTAATAGAGTTCTGCAAATGAGCTTCATGTTGCAAGCACTGCCCAAGCTCCCCGTGCAGCATCTGTGCAATTTCCTAGTCGTCTCCTTGTCGCAGTCAAGCTAACTCTGACAACATGGGACTCTTCTCCACAGCTGCCAAAGTGCTCTTTCTCCATTAGAGAAAGTGCCACAGCATTATTGCAGCTGATTCAACCCTTTAAAGGTGGGTGAAAAGGAACAGAAATTCCACAGTGATCCCACAACCTGGACTGCTGGTGGGCTCCTTCCTTCCTTCCTTCCTTCCTTCCTTCCTTCCTTCCTTCCTTCCTTCCTTCCTTCCTTCCTTCAGCACTGGATGGGCTGCAGGAGGGCTGTGGCAGTGCTTGCAACACAAAACTGCGCAAGGTTCCTATGCAGTTACTCTAGATAGCATGATAGCCCACAATTAGTTCCAAGCACAAATGGACATGTGGGTAATTGCATCCACTCTTCCCAACCATCAAGGCATGTCTCTGCAATTGAGCATAATCGCCACATCTCTGGAAACAATGCAATTAACTTGGATTACGGGGCAGAGAATCTAGCTGAAAGATTCAACTTGTACACTCTCTGGCTTCACACCCCATATTAAATCCCTTGGGAATTTTAAGCCAACACTTAAAGTCCCCTTGTGTCTCACAGATGATTGAGGGATACTTATTGCAGGGAGCACCAAGAGGTCCCCTGAACCACAGGAACTCCTTTATCACTGGCTGCAGTCTGGCTTTTAAAGTGCCTCTGTACTACCCACATCTGGATCGGCCACCTAGAGCCACACGAGCACCCTCTCCCTGCAAAACAGCAGCAGCAGCAACCAGGGAGTGCTGCATCCACCCCATGCTTTAAAAAATATTCTGAAAAAATATAGCAGGCTACAACACTACAATTTAGTAAGGACAACACTGACTTTCTCAGTAACCTTGTTTTGGCTACAGCACTGCTAACACAAGCTGAATCTGCTACTGGGAGTGATTTCATTTTCTCCTCATTCATCCAAGGAGTTCAGGGTGGTGCATGTATTTTCCACTCTGTCCCCAGAACCAAATACCCTTTGAAGTAAGGTTACACTGAAGGATGGTGACAGGTCTAAATTTCATGACAACTCTGAATACAGGTCTGCCAGGTTTTAGACAGACTCTAACCACTAAACACCACTGTCTCTTTAAACAACACACCCTTGGAAACTCACCTTGATGATCTTGTAGCAACAGTAAGATGCAAACTAGCTCTTGGTAAGGATACAACAGGTGCCCTGAACTGTTATGAGAAGCACTGGAAAAAAACTAGCCATTCACATTACGTGAGTTCTATCCCTCCTGTTCACACAGAATTTTACAACCATGGCTATAAAAAGCAGACAATTTTAATTAAAATAGCTAATATATCTAAAGCAATTTATCCATTGACACATCTGAACTTTTTTTCTTCACAACCGTTTTAAACACATTCTTTTTAAAAATGCAGGCAGATGCTAAACCAGCTGAGTAATAAAAACCACAGCATTTTAGACTAACAGGAGGAGTCAATGTATAATTACAAAAATTGAAGAAAAAACTGGAAAAATCTCAAATCCTTCATTTTTCATTCAACAGAAAGGTAGTTTGTAAATGAAAACAAAAAGCAAGCACAAAATACATGAAATGTGTCTACACCAAGCATAAGCAAAGCTGCCCCCCAGTGAGTTCTTTCAGATTGCCCGAAGCTCACAAAACCGTTTGGAGGATGAGCAAAACATCTGCCTGAAGTCAAAAGCAGCTTGGGGAAGGGGGCATAAAACAGGTTACACCAGCAATCTTTCCCTTCTGGAAATGTCTCACAGACAATCATCAATCTGGGGACAGTCAGTTCCAAGAACAGCTGGGGGAGCGCAACTCAGGATAGGTTGCGGCCATTTCTTCTGAAAAAGAAACTGAGATTCAAAGGTGCAAGCAAGCAGTCCATTTTCCCTTGGCACAGGTCACAATCCAGAAGACCTCTAAAGCTGTTCCTCTCAACTCTTCCTCAGCTTCCCCACTCCCTGCTCTCTCTCGCACTGGATCACACAAAAACCTCAGAATCAGTTCCTGCAAATGGCAAACTAGTCATAATGGCAGATCTCCTAAAGATTACGCTGCGTGTTGCAGAGGGACAATATTTGGTCCTGATTTTCTTTGTATTTTTCCATCATGTCCTCTAGGTCATGATCAGCTGGAAGCACCTGACAAACAAGCAACCAAACATTAAAATCATGAATCCCTCAAAAAAAGTGGGAACAATTTCATTTAAATACGAGCCAAGAAAAGCCCTGCTGGATCAGACCAACAGTCCATCTCCTTCGGTGTTCTGCTGACCCAGGGCAACCGTGTGGAAAACCCACAATCGGACAGGAGCACTACGGAACCTTCCTTCTCATATTTCCCAGCAACTGGTGCACACAGGCTTACTGCCTCTGATACCTGAGGCAGCATAAAGCCATCGGGACTAGTGGCTAGTGATAACCTTTTCCTCTGTGTATTTATCCAGACCCCTTTAAAGCCCTCCAAATTGCTGGCCATCACTCCACCTTGTGAAAGTGAATTTCAAGGTTTAATTATATGCTCTGAACAAGTACTTTCTTTTGTCTGGCTGGCTGTTTGCTCCCTCTCGCCCGGCTCCCCCATGCCCATCTGTGGTGCAGCAGGCCACCAAACTCCAGTAGTGTTTGCTGCTATCTGTGGTTTCAGGCATCTATGGGGGGGAGAGGGGGGGCTTGGAACCTATCCCTCACCTTTTCAGAGGTCCTACTGTACTTACAAGCACTGGAGAAGGAACTTTAAACAGTGTCTGTTTAATTAGCCAGTCTTCATAGAGCTGATGAATAGCTTCTAAATATTCCTATCCAAAAAAGAGAAATGGGTGGAAACAGATGTTTGTTTACAGCCAACACAAAACTTCTATAAGAGCTGTGGTTTGATCAATGAAGCCTGGAAAAATTCAGTTCATACCAATCTGTATAACCCAGACTTAAAATGCTAAGCAGTTGAAATAGATGCCAAACACTCCCATCAGATTTGGTTAGCTCTTCATAACAGCATAAGAAGATCACTTATGCTGCTCAGAAGATCAGACTGAAGACCCACCTAGACAAAATTCTTGTTTGCTCAAAATGGCCTGTGGAAGCGCAAGAGACAGGTAGAGGCAGCTGCCTCTGACACTGGAGGCACTCTATTGCCATGATGGTCAGACTTTGTTATGCTCCATGAATTTGTCTAACTGCCCTTGAAAGTCATCCAGATTGGCACGATCACCACATTTTGTGGTCGCATGCTCCGCCCTTTAACTACATGCTGTGAGAAGTGTTTGCTTGTGTCTGTCATGCATCTTCCTCCAATCAATTTTGTGAGATGACACTGCATTCTGGTACAAGAGGAGGAGATAATTTTCCACTTTATATTCATTCTTTCCAAAAGTTTACACACTCGCTACAGCACACCAAACGTTGCAACCATGTTCTGCACTTTTTTCAACTCTACCCTAACTTTTTAAAACGGTAACTGAACATGCAGTGTGGGGGAGGATTCCTCCCTTTTTCTTTTGTACATTGGATCGCATAGTTAAGGAGATGTCTGTCGCGCACTGACTCCTTTTCCTCCAAATTTCTGGTACTACTGAATTACGTGACGGGGTCTCTCCTTTCTTTCCCTGTTATTTCTCCCCCAGCAGTTTGCTATTGTGTCAATAGGAAACCTCACCGGTCATGCTTTTTGAATGTATCCTGGTCTACTTTGCTGCTCCCTTTGACAGGAAGACATACAAGGAAATCCAATTTATGTATTGGATTACATATATTGGATAGCAATAACTTGTGCAAGACCAGCAAAGGAAGGAAGGAAGGAAGAATACAACCCCATTTGTCAATGTTTGGGAGACTGGAAAAAAAATTAAAAACTAGGGAACATAAACAGGGCAGGGAAGGGGCTGAATTGCAGAAACAAGACAGGTTCTGCCCTGCATATATACTGGAGCCAGCTAGAGAACTGAGAGAGGAGGAGGGAAAGAATAGCCAAAACAAGCCAAATCATCTGTTGGAACTTGCCATGGGTTGTTCTGCAAACCATCAACCCACCATGGGTTAGCCACAAGGTGGTTTAGTGTGACATGCAAACCTGCCCAGCCAATCTGCATCTGCCATGTCTGCAAGGGTGATGGGATGGGGCGAGGAGGGAATGGGGAAGCAAGCGGGTTGGTGCTGTGCAGGTTCTGACTGTGTTAAAGAACTACCAGGTGTTTATGTAGTGCAGTGCTCCTTTTGGTTAACAGCTATTCAAAGTTTTGTTGCTAAGCAGTGATGCTCATATGGCCCCAGGGCCCTCTCCCAGGGTGAACTGATGCACTGCAATTTTGTATGGCAAACTTAGAGCTCTTTCATCTGCTGCCCCATCAAGCCCTCAGGTCACAACCTACCTTTCAGCAGTAACCCTGCAGTCTCCGTAGGTAAGAAAGGGGAATTCACTGACACCAGCCCGAATGTAGCATAGTCCCTCCACCCTCTCTGTGTTAGGCAAGGGGAAAGCCTAGGCATGAAAACTGTGCACACCAAGTTTCCACCTGCCAGCATCTGTGCCTAAAATGCAGGCCTCAAAGAAGGGGAGCCACACAGACACTGGAGGAAGTTGCATGGTGATTCACAGGTGGAGCGGACTAGTGACATCGGACCATTTACGCTTCCTGTCACATAGGGAATACGTGGCACAACCTGGCTAGGATGTGATTTCCCTTCCATCCTGGTGAGTTTTCATGCAAACCAGCCCTTATACCCCCATCAGGAAAAGCCACTCCAAAAGGTTTGAAGCTGGCTTCCTCCTTACCAAGGGAATGACCTTCTCTTCTTCCCTACACCTCCTTTTCAGTCTCTTGTAACATGTCTCAGGAGATGTCTGTAGATAAACTGCCATTAAAACATTCAGAAACATATTAAACAGTGTCAGCATTTCAAAAGCCTTTTCTGGAAGGCCTTGCAGACAAATTATATTTATAGTTCACTGTTCAGAAAAAAAAATAAACGATCCAAGAAATTTAGAAATCTGTTACAAATGTAGGGTATGCTGATGCTTATAGGAAGTAACACTGTCATGTGGAAATGTGGGTAAGGGAGATGTGATGAGACGGTAAGGCTGGGGGTAGGTGCATTGGGTCAGCCAGGCTTCATTCTGCCTGTGCCCCTTATCCCTGCTCCAAATCACTCAGCGTGCAGTTTATCCTACACACATTGTAGGGCTTCCAAAGCAGGCAAATATGCATTTGAACTGCACAAAGGGAACTACATGGGGGGAGAAGGGCTTTAGAGCGGAGAAAGGCCTGAAAGGAAAAGGATTAATTCCTCCTCTGTTTTCAATGGGAGAAAATAAGCTGGGCTCCATTTCACATTCTCCTAAAATATGCTGTTAGTCCCTTAAACATAAGACAAAAATTACAACTACAGCCCATCTCATGCAACCAACTCATGGTTAGGTTTCAAAGAAAAGACTGCCAAGACACATGCATGTTACCTATCAGGTCAACTGAAACATTAATGTTCTTTAGGATCCACTCAAACCATTCCGTCAATACCACGTAATCCACTTCAGGCATTTTCCCACTACAACAAATAAGAAATACATAGTTGAATAAACGTGCACAGTTGTACAACTTAAATAATAATTTAAGAGAGTGCCCATCTGTCACACAACAGATGGTGCTGCCCTGCAGCTCAACACACATTTTACATCTGTTCCCTTGGAAACCCCCAGCAGAAACCAGCTTTGTCTTCTACCACACCCACACTTCTGCCAAAATATTTCCCTAAAAGCTGGCTGCATCTACAATCAGCATTCACTGAAACTACTTCAGTGAGATTCTGAATCAACCTTGTATTTGATCAATTGCCTCTAGGTGACCAGGAATTCCCTGTGGGCAAATAAGCTGGGTGATGAGGAAGGTACAGGTTATTCTATCCCTTTCTTGCCAGTCTGCTTGATTTCTGCTCAAGCTACAGAAGAAGGAAAGCCTCCGTGACCTGCATGAAGGAGAAGGCAGAATGGCCTGCTTTGTACTTGTCAATTTTTTATTAGCCTGCTAAGAGGAAAGCAGCCTGCATTTCCATACTGGACCCCTCTTCCACAGCTGCATGGAAATGCAGGGCATTTGCTTCTTAGGAGACCGATAAAAATAAAAACAAGATTACCATCTAGTAAATTTTGATAGCTTATTTACAAACTTGTTCCAAATAATTTTGATGAAAAAAGATTATCTATAATTATTGAATCTTTATTACTGAGACATTCATGAAAGGGGAAGGAGGGAAGCTTATCCTTTGCCATGGAGTAATTTTAGCCTTTAAAGCCCCATTGCAGCTGTCTGTCATCACCCCTCTCCCTCTCAAAGCTTTAAAGATTTCCTGGTTGAAATGCAACCAGCAAGGCTGTTTTGCTATGCTGCAGTTTGTAGCAATGAATTCAACAAAACTTGAAGAAGATGCTTGGCTCATTACATGTGAAACACAAAATCTTTAGGTTAGATTTTAGATTCATCATTCATCAATTCTCATATGAGTACAATCTTATGTATGTTTAGGCAGAAAAAGTGGCTAGGGGATTCTGGAAGTTGTGGTCCTTTCTTTCTGCATAGTACTGCACACCAAGTAATACTGATGCACAGCCTCCAAATCTGTACAAGACTCTCAGTATTTGAAAGCTTAATCAATAAATGCACATATAAAAATGTAATAAATAAATAAAGGTTGGGCTCCTTAGCCTACAAATAACCTAAGAATCCAGGTTTGCACATCACACTGCTTATGATAGAGTCTAAGCAGAGGCTGAGTATATAAGCAGATGTAGCACAAAACCCACTATTACATACAAACAAGGCCAGTGACTCCTACAGCGTCTAGTCGGAACAAGCCCAGAAACAGAATAAATCCCAAACTGTCAACAATACACATTGTCATGACATGTTAGGAAATTAAGCATGACTTGGAGCATCCCTAAATGTCTACAGAAGATACATTTCAACAGTACTTTTTATAAGAAATGAAAAATAAACCATGCTGGGTCTCTTACAGAGAATTTACAAAAAGAAATTCCCAATTAGAATTTCTTAAAACTTGTATCCCCAGTGTTATACGAAACGGAGCGTGACTTAGAGCATCCCTACATTTTTCAGGAGAAAAGCAAGAGAGTGCCTGGGGGAGGACCTTTTTAAACCGATCTTTCTCTTTTTCCCTGCTTTCACATCCATAATGTTCATCACATGCACCTGACACATAAAACATACATCGGGCTCATGGTTCTTGCTGTGTGTTTCTTTATTCAGAATAGATTCACCACATGCCAACAACCTTAGAAGCCTCCTTCAAATGTTTATATATTAGGACCGGGCTTAGTTATCATAAGATTTCAAAGTGCTCCTCAACTTGCTCTTTGCAGCAACGTTTTAATCAAATCTGTTCATCTGTCCTTCATAAAATCAAAAACACAACACACTGAAGTACAGTAAAATTAAAATGCAAGTTACAACAGAATACATGGAGAGTCCCTGTGGTGAACTTGTCAGTGTGGGACTAGGACTCCGATCTGGGTTCTAGTCCAAACTTGAACCAGAAGTTCACTGGGTAACTTTGTGTCAGTCGCCAACTCTGAGCCTTACCTACCTCACAGGGCTGTTGTGAGGATGAAATTGAAAGGAGGAGGATCATGTGAGCTGCCCTGAGTTCCTTGCAAAAGGAACAATGGTGGGATATAAATGTAATAAAAATATACATTAAAATCCAGGTGCAAAAATGTAAAATGCAAATATGAACTACGTTCATTAAAACAACAACAAAAGCAACACTGAGTATTGTACCTTTGGTAGAGGTTTTCTACAAAAATGTATTTTGCACTGTAAATTGACCTCTCCATCATTCTTATGGGGGAAATCTGCAAAATGAAAATGTCAGGAGTCATTTAACAGTTTTCTTCAGAGCTACTGGATGACGTTTCTATTCTGTTTGGAATCTAATATTAGCTGGCCTTGTCTGAGGACTGAAGAATTCCAGTGGAGCAGTAGAAGACACTTACAACTTCCACTAAACCCTGTATCACTGCTTCTTTTTCAAAAAGGCGCATTAATTTTTCCTGTATAACACCACACTCACACAGGCTTCCAAGAAGTCCACCACCCAAAGAACTAATCAAAGCTTTTCTTAGTCAGCTTCAGTAATGCACAACTTCAGATGCCTTCCAACCAATTGCCGTACATGAATATTTCCATAAAATGTTGCCATGTGGTGCACCCGTCTCAAGCCAGGCCCTCCATTCCAATCGCCCTGCCCTCAGTTTTCCATTTTTTCCTTCTAAAAGATACTTGAAATTAAGTGGCCACTAATCATGAGACTGGGGAAAGGAGAAGTTGGCAGCCCTTAGTTTTCCCCTGTACGTGTATCTGTTTGCTTTGTCGTTCTACTTCTGCAAGTACAGGAAAGGGCAAACTTTTGGGGTCCATTGACTTATTTGGCCATATGAGGCATGGCCATGGGCATCACCACAAAATGGCTGCCATGGGATGGCTGCCAAAGGCATATTATCCCAGAGGTGTTCATAGGAAATGAAACAGCAGCTGGTAGCAGATCTCACTTTGCTCTGAAGAGATCCAGCTGCTGCTGCAAAAATACTTTCACTTCGCTTTAAGCGGGAGGGTAGGGAAACTTTGTGGGCTCCAAGAAAGTGCCCCATGCTGCCTACCCGACTGGTGACCCTAATTGCTCAGGGCTGATGCAACGCGCAGGGGAATTTTAAAAGCAAGGAGCACTCGCTTTGCAATGCTGCTCTAAAGGCTGTAGGACAGAGTCCACTGCAGCAAAAATGGCAAAACAAGACGGGGATTCCATTTTAACCCAGGGGTGAAGGCAGTCCTAAATGAAGGAAAGAAGCACTAGCGGCATGGCTATTAAGAAGGCTTCTGGCCGACGTCGGCCTGAAGGCACGAACAGCTCCCACCACAAACTGCTTCTTCCATGTTCATTCCAGAGACAACAACTTCAGATCAAATCCTGGGACACAAGGTGGAATCCAGTTTACACAGATCTCAATTCCAAAATGTATTGTCTTAGGTTATCACAGTTTGCGTGCAAGCAAGCTCACTCGTTTATGGTACTGGTTATGCCCCGGGAGGGAACATGTGACCCTGATGGCCCGTGTCAACCTCAGACTACGTGCCTGCTGGTCTTGTTCTGCTTTTCAAACTCCATCCCCACCCACTGCAGACCATGCCAGGTTTCAACCTCAGTAGAAAAGTCTCCTCTCTCATTATGCAGCTGAATTACTGTACATCAGGATGTAGAACCCAGGATGAATAAAAATCAATGACTGTTTAATTTAAATTGGATTTTTAAAATTTATTTTTTTAATAGAATGCTTTTTGAGGAAAAATCTAGCTATAGTTTCCTATTTAAGATACATTATAGTCCAAAGGTTATTCATCACAAAATAAGGATTTGTTTTTAATTATGCAGCATGTTCATGCAATGTTTAATTTTTTTTTTGGTAAATGTATTCCATTAATCCATTCACAATGTCATGCCCTTCCAGAGGTTTCCCTAAAATTATTGGGGAATTTTACTGTCTAGAAGATACTATCACAGATGCTTTGGTTTTACAGTTCTCAAAACTGAATTTGTTTCTGCAGAGACCATGTCGCTTTTTCACAGCAAAAAGTTATAAAATAAACATACAAAAGACCTTAATCCCATTATTCCTTTGCAAATCTATGTACACAGAATCAACCCCTTACCTCTTAAATGTGAAGTTTCAAAACATTCAATGAATAGAACAGTGATGGTGAACCTTTTAGAGACCAAGTGCCCAAACTGCAACCCAAAACCCACTTATTTATCACCAAGTGCCAACACTACAATAAAACCTGAAAACTGAGCTTTTAGTTTAGAAAAAACAACTCACAGCCAGTCCAAGCAAATATATATATATATATCCTTGGCAGCGCACTGACTGTCCATGAGAAAGCTCGGATGAGTCGCGGCTAATGAGTCGCAGCTCGTGACATCATTGCCTGGTGGAGCTACTCCTTTCTGAGCATCCGATGCTCAGCTGCTGGGGCAATGCTGGGGCGACTTGGCTTATGTGCCGACAGAGAGGGCTGTGTGTGCCCACTGTGGCATGCTTGCCATAGGTTCGCCACCACTGGAATAGAAGATAGTGGGGAATGGATTAGATCTGTAGAAGAAGCTAAGTGTGAGGAGGGAGGGGCAAGCAGTAAAAATGAAAATGAAGCCTTTTGAATGGAATACTCCATGAGTCTTTGATCTTTTTTGTATAGCCTGGGATTTATCATATTATTCTTTCCCTGGGTTAAAAGAGAGCCAGTTTGGGAATATTTTAATGAAGTTCTACCTATGGGTAAGGCAGTCATGCTTGCAAAACTATGAATGAAACCTAGTCTTACTGACTATTGATTTGAATCGTGATTTAAACACGATTCTACCTTGACAGAACCTTTTCCATTCTGAGGGCCGACGTCTATTTCCGAGAAGCTCTCAGGGACTGCCTTCTTGGCGGTGGGCAGGGCAAAGGCAACAGCAGGCAGAGGCCAGGACAAAGGGTCGGGGACCAAAACAACAGCAACCCTCACATCAACATATCCAGTCCAGAGGCCCTGCGATAAATGATGCCTTCCTTATAGAAAGAGCACCTAGGGAACTTTATAATTTAAATTTCAACACTGGAGAAGAAAACAGGAGCAGCAATGAGAGGAAGAAAAAGTAGTAAGAGGTGAATACAAGTCAATGCAAGTTACATACACTGAGGTATTATTTCAGTCAGGAATGAAATCTCTTCACATTAAGAGAAACAAAGCTTCAAATTATACCTGTGTTCTTGTATGATGGTCCAACATGGTAAGCTGCACATAAGTCTGCAATGTTATTCCCCACCGCGTTGCATCCTGGTACATTAAGCCCTGGAATAAGAAGGAAAAATCTACACGCACATATTCCAGTTATTTTGTTTCAATTGTATTTTTATTGTCTCCTTTTAATTAGAATAAAGTTCTTCTTGGGATTCTTCTTAAGGTTTTATATTGTCTCAGTCAATGTAAAATATTAAGGTATTAAAGATTAATATTAAGGTATAAAAATCCAACTGGGGTTTCTATGACGGATAATCTTCAATGTATTTTTCTCTTTCTAAAAATCTATTTATTTATTGAATGGAGTTGGTCTTTGACCGTAATAAAGTTTTTATCTATCTATCTATCAAATATTAAGGTAATATTATTCAGATCAAGCAGATCCAGGGAAGCAACTGCCCATACAGTTTTATTTCTGAAAACCAAAGAGATTGGGACAAAAACCTAGCCCAGCAAGTATATGGATTTCTATCACTGGAGTTTTTTTGGGCCTAGACAGTGGAAAGTACTGCATACGAATGATCCAAAACCGTATTTCAAACAGGAAAGCAGACAGGGAGCAATTCCAAGCATATTTACAAAGAAAGGGGTCCTACAACTCCTAGTATTTCCCAGCCACACAGCTGGGGCTTGTGGGGACTTGCAGTACTTTTAGCTTCTCAGATGCAAAGCACTGTGCCTTAGATTAGAGCTTCAGCTACTGGGCGGTATAAAAAAGGTGGTATAAAAATAATTTATTCGTTTATTCAATTTGACTTGTATGTCGCCCCATTAGCCATAAGACTGTCTGGGCCACTCACAACATGCATGCATACAGTGTCTTTCATCTGACACCTCACACAGGAATTTGGGGAATTTTTACCTCCTGAAAATACATAAAAATTTGGCTTTTGTTCATCATATTTCACTAAAAAACAGATTGTAGCACATACTCTCTCCAATGAGGGAAGGGGGGGGGTTTGATTGTTTTTATAATTTTATTGTATTTTAATCTGTTTTGTTTTTATGGAGTCATCCCTGGCCATGTCGATGTTTGTGTTTCCTGGGGAACGCAGGGGCACCACCATTGGGGTGGTCATGGGCAATGGACGTAACAGCGGTGGGGGCTTAACGTATCCGCGTAGAAGAAGGAGGGACAGATGGTTGACACCTGTCCCTCCTTCTGGTTTTGCCCCCAGCCAGAGGGTTCCAGGTAGACTTGTCAACCGCCCCTCGGGCCTGACGGTGCTGCTGCTCAATGCCAGGTCGGTCAACAATAAATCTTCCCTCATCCATGACTTGATTGTGGATGAGGGGGCCGACCTGGCTTGCATAACGGAAACCTGGACGGGGCGGGGGGGGATGTCGCCCTCTCTCAAATGTGCCCGCCTGGGTATCTGGTTCAGCACTGTTCACGCCCGGGAGGGGAGGAGGGGTCGCTTTGGTTTACAGAGCCTCCATCTTTCTCACGGGACTTCCAGTCCCTCCGAGACCAGGGCTGGAGTGCCTCTACTTGGTGTTGGGCGACAGCGACAGATTGGGGATTCTGTTGGTGTACCGTGCACCCTTCTGCCCAACAGTCTCCCTGCCTGAGCTGACGGAGATCGTCTCGGACCTGGTGTTGAGGACCCCCAGGATGTTGGTCCTGGGGGACTTCAATCTCCATGCCGAGACTGGTCTGACCAGGGCAGCTCAGGACTTCATGGCCACCATGACGGCCATGGGGCTGTCTCAACATGTCACCAGCCCGACCCATGAATGTGGACACACTCTGGACCTGGTTTTCTTGACGGGGCAGGAAGAGGGTGGTCTGAGGGTGAGGAATTTATGTTTGACTCCCCTGTCACGGTCAGATCACTTCCTGGTGAGGTTTGTGCTTGAGAGCGACCTCTCCCTCTGCAAGGGTGCGGACCCGATTGTGTGGGTCCGCTCCCGGAGCCAGATGGATCCAGATGGATTCCTGAAGGTCCTGGGGGAGTTTCCGGCTGACAAGACTGGTGCTCCTGTCGAGGCTCTAGTCGAACTGTGGAACGGGGAGATGACCAGGGCATTTTAATTGTTAATATTATTTGCTTATTTTATCTGGCCAGGGCGACTTGTTTTATATTGTTAATTTTATATTTTTAATGTATTATATTTTAATTTATGCTGTGAGCCGCCCCGAGGCTTTGGCGAATGGGGCGGCATAGAAATGTTTAAAATAAATAAACAAAGGCAGGGGAATAACAGCAAAAAAAATGTTTTTTTACCATAAGCAACATAGACTCAAACTATTAAAATACTCAATTATATTTTCAACAGAAAAGGTATTAAAAATGTATCTGAGAACTTACCAGAGGATTATGACCCTTAACATTCCTCCATTTAGACACTGGTTCAGTCAAAACCTGAGTTTGAAAAATATATATTTACCAGCATGTATTTTTCAGTACAGATGTTATCAACTGATACAGACATACAAACCTGGCTCACATGTAATGGCAACACAGTACACACGGAATATTGGTTGTCACTGAATCAAGCACTGTTGCTACGTGTGATGATGCACTACAATAGCTATGGATTGTTCGCCTCAAACAACCCAGAATTCACAACTAACAACAAAGCACTGAATATGGCTTGCCACAGAATAGTGGGATTATTTACCTATAACTGACACTCTTTATGTGGGTATCTGCACATTCACACATGTGGGCTCTGTGCCTGTGTGGAACCTGTTGTCAGAAAGGTTTTCCAAGCTAGACTCGTCCCAGGGGCAGCCCCTCCCTTCCCGGTATATCTAGGAGGGTTCCTGCCATTTTCTCCAATTCTTTCAAGATCAAAGTTGCGGCCTTTGAACTGGGGGAAAAGGCCAGTGAACAGCCAACCCAGACCATCTCAATACAGGTCCAAAGGAAAAACTATGGTCCCAAAACTGTTGACACTGACGTGGGACTGGTGGGGGAGTCGCACAGATGACCACTCAAAGAACGTCAGCCACAGAGAAGCAACTGTAGCTTCTTTGTGGCTTCTGTGCATCACATATATGGGTGACTAGCAAGTTTGCCTCGAAATGAAGGTAGGCAAGTGTCGTCAGCGAAGGACTGTCTGGTCCCTATGGAAAGTGAGGACTGGCAATTCCATGTGCAAAGTTCACGTGCTCCATCAGCCAATGTGATCACCACCAGAGAAGCAACCTCCTTGGAGAAGAGAAGCAAGCCCACAGTGGCCAGAGGCTCAAGGGGAGCCTGCAGGTCCACCGACAGGTTCTGTCCTGACATAAACAGATGCGGGTGCAGGACTGGTTAGGCAGACCTTTCATGAAGCAGTGGGACAATGGATGCCAGAACATGGAGAAGCCATCCACTGTCCTGTGGAACAATGATATTGCTGCTATGCATACTTTAACGGAGGACGTTTTCAAGCCTCTGGAGTGCAGCATATAGAGGAAGCCAAGGATCTGACAGAGGGGTGCCTGATGTGGACTGATGGCTTCCCCCCGGGCAAAGGCTGCAAAGCCTATACATTTCGCTGTATAGAAACACCTTGTGTTTGGTCACAGGAGGGCATCTGGGATCACCTGCATTTCGGGACAGAGAGGGATCTCCTGGTCTACACCATGAGGCTGATGGTACCAATGCAGGATGGTGCCTGGGTGCCAGAGTTGATGTCTGGTCTCCACGGGAGCCATGCAAGCTGTTTGGACAAGCAGAGGAGGTGGGTAAACCATGCCTACCAGGGCCACCATGTTGAGTATGAGTATGTCATTTGATCTGCTGGCACCAAATACAGAGCCTCGTCTATAGGCCTTTGGTTCTCACGGGAAGCTTCTCTCCCTCGTGCGCGCGTTAAAGAGTCCCCTGAGTCAGTGCGCACGACACCCCCATTGCAGGAACTGAGGGTCAATGAGGCTTCTCTCTCCTGGATAACCATGGCAGAAGTGCAGCAGTGGCAGTAGAAGCACCCTCTAGGCCTCCGGGCTCCAGGTCGGCAGCCAAGACCTGGACCATTCTCTCAGCCTGTGGCTGGAGGCACAAGATGGTGTGGGAGAGTAGACTCTATGTGGCGAAGGGCCAGCGGCTGAACCCACTGGCAGCATCATGGGCAGTTGGTCCCAATGAGGGGAGAACAACACTCTCACCCATAAGATCACTGACTGTAGGTGGACCAGAGTACAGGGTGGTGAAGCCTGAATCTCCTCTTCAGAGACAGACAGACAACGGAGACCCACCAGTTCTGTTGTCAGGACAGGTCAAGATGTCAAAGGAGCTGGTGTTGAAGCATGTGCAGACAACGCTGGTGGAGAACAGAGCTTAGGCCACTTCTTGTATTTGGCCTTCTGAGCCTCTGCCATCTTTTTGGTCTTCTTGGCCAGCTTCTTCACATGGTATTCTTCTTCTACACGCCCAGGTGAGTGCAGCACAGACAGGGCAGCCGATGGAGGGTGGGAAGGAAGAACTGCCCACAGGGTGGATGGGCATTCAGGCAGCACCACTGCGGCTGAGCTGATAGCTAAAAGGGTGCAGCTGCAAAGCTTGGCCCAAAATCGGCCCGCCCAGTTTTTCCAGGCTTGCAGCATGAATGTCTGCACAGGCATCCACACAGTGCTCCTCTGCCAAACAGAGGAGGCACAAGGGGTACCCATCCATGGGAGACAAACACACTTCCAAAAGGGCACCGAGTGCCATTGGGAGGAGAAGAAAAGCCAAACAAGAAATAAGGCACAGAGCCCATATGCAGAGCCCCCATAGTAGAATGCAGGTAACCATTTAATCATGGGTTGTCATTTCATGTGAACTACGCTTTAACCGCACGTGCTTGGATTCTGACCTTTTGTATCCTCCTAGCTTGCTTGAATTCCCACTTGTCTTCCTGCCATCCCACTTCATTGAATTCCCATTTTGATTCTCTCCTGTCCCTTCCTGCTTAGATTCCTAGCACCAAATGCCTGCTTGGTTTCATATGAATATTTCTGAATTAGACAGATCTTGAACAAATCCTACAAGACCCTTCAGTGAGAATGGCAGATCACACAACATGAAAATCATGACTCATCTGCATGAGGTGATGCTCAGCAGACATGCACACTGTGTAAACAAGCACACCAGGGGAACGTAGAGTTCTCGTAATAAAGAAATAAGAATGAAATCTGACCACCTCTGCACTGGTGGGTAACTGAGCTCCCTAAACTAACTCTGGGCAATGTGCATATTACTCCCATGTCTCTTGTCATCAACCTAGTGACCAAACAGAAGTAAGTGCAGCCAGCAAACAGCTCAGACACTTCTTAAGCAGCCTTTCCGAAAAACCAGTGATGGTCCAAGATCATTTAGTGCAACGTAGACTTCAGAGGAATTTAAGGAAACAATATTCAAAAAATGGGGTTCCACTGAACAACATAAACCCAATCCTAACCTACAGAATTCCCTCGGCATTCAATTCTTTGCAGCCAGACTTAGATCACAATTCAGCCCAGAAAACTTGTTATAAATTTGACAGAAATCCAAAATGTGTCACCTCAATGTTGGTATTTGTAGCAAAATAATCCAGACATGTTGTTTTCCCGCTTGCGATATTGCCCTCGATACAAATCTGGGGAGGAGAAAAACAGCAGATGAGGATGGCGTTCTGATGATACATAGAACCACCCACAGAGCTTTGACTTTAGGGCAGTACAGAAATTAAATTAAGCATAAGAAGAGTGATGCTTGAACTTTGTGAAGGGAAAGCTGTGAGTATATATTCTTCCTAAGCATTCAGAGCAAGACTGAGCAAACCACATATTTTTAGATCTAAACATTGATGAGGGGGGTTTTCCTTGTTCCATGTGCCCCCACCCCAAGCTGGGTGCATGTCCATTCCTTTTGTCATCAAACCAGCACTATCCATAGATGGCAGAACAAGATTAAGAGGCTAATGAGGACAGATTCAAGGCTTGCCGAAGTACCATAAAAAGCTTGGAATGGGAGAGAACCCTAGGAGGGCAGCGAGGAACCAAAACCAGACATTCGTGTGTGAAACATTTTGTGTTTCAAGTGTTGCATGTGTGTAAAGGGGAAGATGAGAATATGCTGGGAGAGGGGTAAAAGGATTGGAGTATTCTGGAAGAGACCGTTGCTGGCTGAATAAATTTTGAACAGAAACAGTAGACACGGAAATACTTTATCACAAGTCCCACATATTTATTATATCCTACAAATGTGATCATGAAAAATACACTCTGACCTATTTTTCATGCAATTATTTTATTTTATTTTATTTTATTTTATTAGTAAGATATCACTTTCGGTGTGATCCTGTCACCTCTAGCCAGAAATTGTCTGAGGCAGTGCAGCATGTCAGGAATTTCTGCCTCCAAGGCCACAGAAGGTGCTAGAATCTTATAGGTAAAAATCCTCATTTCAGCTCTCAGCACTGCTGGTTCCCAGCTCCTGCAGTAAGCTCCACAAGGGCACCTCTTTTGAGCTGGGTGTCACAAAAGGAGACAAGCTGGTGGGCACAGAGGGGTGGGAGTAGGAAAGCACAAGATGCTCCAGACGCTGCATTCAAGCCCCATGTCAGCCCTCAACAGCTCACCTCCACCAGACGGGCTCGGGGGACTCTCACGAAAAGAGCACGGGGGGGAAACTGCCTCCATCCTTCTCTTGCTCTGCTAGCAGCAGCCTCCCAGACCTTAGAAACCACAGAAGCCTCCGAGATCAGCAGCTTGTGCCTAGCATGTGGCAACCCAATACAGTCACCCCTGTCCTATTTCATTCACAATGCCAGGCTTTTTTTAATACGATGTCAGTGGGATGGGAGGTGGCATTGCGGGTGAGACCACTGAGCCACTGAACTTGCCGACCGGAAAGCTAGTGGTTCGACTCCTTGCCCCGGCTCCTGCCCACCTAGCGGTTCAGGAGTGTGCAAAAGCATGAGTAAATAAATAGGTATCCACTTTGGTGGGAGCTAGTGAGCTAGTAAGACCAGTCCATGATGGACCTGCAGCAGCAGAGAAAGACCCTGGAAGAGACCGACACTCCTGCAGATTAATGCTAGGGGCTTTGCATGAAGCTAGTTCACCCCCTCCCCACAATGGTGCACTGTGGATCGCGCTCAAGCGTGGACTGAAGCAACAGCTATCTTAGGCAGCCAAACTACTCTGCACTAGCAGGGCAGACTTCCTGGCTCAATTGAACCAATGCCATATGAAATAAACAAATAAAATCTGATGTCACTGTGTTATAGAATGCAAAAATCAGTTTAGATTTTAAATCATCAAAAATTATTGAATACATTGGCATTTTTAAATTCAACCTGCTTCAAAAAGATATTATGCGAACAGAATTATTTGTCTCCATTATAATGTATTGCAGGCTGAATCTGCAATACATTGCAAATGCACTGGCCATTCTATTTACTGCCTCCCTCTGCATTTTATAACAATCTCATGTACTGTTAATTTTGCCTTTATTAGTAGGGTGTTGGGGTGGTCTCATACTCACAACTGTCTTCTTCTCTCCGACATTTGCCAGGTGTTTATCTTTAAAAAAAATAAAAAATACTAATTAGTAAACTATGGAAGAGTAACTGGGGCTGTCCATTTGCTTAAATTTTAGTGATACAGTTGAAGAGACAGTGGACAGTCATGGTTAAAGGAATTGCTAGGCAAACTTGGCCACATGCTAGCTCTCAGCCTAACCTAAAACACAAGCATCTGTGCAGCTAAAATGCAAAGCAGAACCATGCATGTAATTTGTAATAACCATTTCTTCTATTTCCTACATTCAAGCTTTAAGTGTCATTGCACATGTAATCAAAGCAGGAACAAACACACATGGTTCAGGTAAATACCAATGCTTGCAAAATATTTCCTAAAATATTTTTAAGAAAGAAGAATGGAATGGAATGGAATGGAATGGAATGGAATGGAATGGAATCCAGAAGCAGAAGCATTCCACACTGCAACAATTTGCTGCAGGTCCTAATTATAATAAATACTTCATTCAATTTATATTATGGATCAGAAGACAGGAAATGGTAAGCACTGTGTGACTTGACTACAGACTATATCATAGCATCACAGCAGAGTTGGAAGGGGCCAGAAGGCCACAGGGTCCAACACTGTGCCCAGTGCAGAATTCCCTGTTAAACCATCCTTCTAAGATGGTGGCCAGTTGTATCTTGAATGCCTTTAGTATGGGAGAGCCCACAACCTCCCTAAGTCATCAGTCCCTTTTTTGTACTGCTCTAACAATCAGCAAATTTTTCCTGGTATCTAGCCAGAACCTGCGGGTGAAAGGGGAGAGCACAAAAGTTGGCTTGAAACTCAACATTAAGGAAACTAAGATCATGGCAGCCAGTCCTCTCACTTCCTGGGGAATAGATGAGGAAGAAATGGAGGTAGTGACAAAATTTTGTTTTCTTAGGTTCCAAGATCACTGGAGATGCTGGCTGCAGCCAAGAAATTAAAAGACACTTGCTCCTTGGGAAGAAAGCTATGGCAAATCTGGACAGCATACTATAAGGCAGAGACATCACCTTGCCGACAAAAGTGCGTATAGTCAAGGCTATGGTTTTCCCAGTTTTAATGTATGGCTGTGAAAGCTGGACCATAAGGAAGGCTGAGCACCGAAGAATGGAGGCCTTTGAACTGTGGTGCTGTAGGAGACTCCTGTGAGTCCCCCGGCCTGCAAGGAGATCAAACCAGTCAATCTTAGAGGAGATCAACCCTGACTGCTCTTTAGAAGGCCAGGTAGTGAAGATGAAACTCAAATACTTTGGCCACCTAATGAGAAGGAACAACTCACTGGAGAAGACCCTGCTGTTGGAAACAATTGATGGCAAAAGAAGGGGACAGCAGAGGTTGAGGTGGCTGGATGGGGGTAACTGGGGCGGTGGGTGTGGGCTTGGGTGGACTCTGGAGGATGGTGGACAGGAGAGCCTGGAGGAATGTGGTCCATGGGGTCGTGATTGGTCAGACATGGCTTTGAGACTAAACAATAAAGCCAGAACCCGGATTCTTGTAAATTGAGACTATTATTCCATGCCTTGTACTCTGGGATTATCGAGAAGAGATCCTGGCCTTCCTCTTTAAGACAGCCTTTCAAGTACTCGAAGAGTGCTGCCATGTCTGCCCTCATTCTTCTCTCTTCTTGAGGCTAAACATGTCAATTTTTTTCAATGTCTCCGTACAGGGAGAAACATGTGCTTGGTTCTGGCAGGGCAACTCAGTGTTTTCTCCTGGTCCTGCAACCACACTGGATAGATAAACCACTCGGGTTCCAGCTCCAGCTTGCTGGGAAGAAGGCAAGCCAGAGTTGTGGATTCCGACCTGATGCTGAACAAACTTGTTTAACCATTCCAACTGACAGAAGGAACCAAGCAGGAGAACAGAATCCATACCTGTGACATGGAAAGCCCACAAAAAAGAACCCAAGATTTCATTTTAAAAGGAAAAAACGTGGGCTACTGCTTGTGCAATGCAGACCTTTCACAAGCATGCTTTTGATCAGTAGTGATTAACTTCTTTCAGCCTGAAGGCTGAATTAAATGTCAAAAAAGCTGTTGTGGGTCTGCATTCCACTGGTGAGCTGAGCCAAAATGACAGGGCCAAAAATACCCGTGTATACTGTCTTGAAGCCCTTACTGCCAGGAACAAAGCCTTGAGAGCGGCATTTCAAATTTTCAGAGTTACTGAAAGTGCAAAAGGTGGGAAACCACCGATCAGTCTGGCTTGTGGCTGAGAGAAGGGACATAACTATAAGGGGAACCCCAGAAGGCCAGATCAAGATCCCAAGAGGGTCCGATTTGAACTCCAGGCCTTAGGTTCCACAGCCCAACTTGAGAGAGTCATGAAATTGTCCAATTAAAATGGCCTCTTAAACGATTTGCCTTTAAGAAGAAAATTCCCTCATTTGGTACATGGTCTCAGGTTAATTTGCATACACACTGTTGGGGAAATGAAGCAAGAATATCAATAGACAGAGTTTTATATGATAAAGCTATAAACTTATGAAAACATACACAAGCAAAGGGGAGGCAAGGGAGGAAGAGCTGCAGAATCGTATTTTGATACACGTTAAGCATAACTGTTGGGACCACGACTGGAGAAACTGCGGTTGGAAGCCCCTCTGCCATGAAGCTTACTGGGTGCCCTTGGGCCAACTGTTTACCCTCAACCAGAGTTGTTGCAAGAAGAAAACGGAGAGGAGGATTGTATGGGTTAAAAGGTGTGATTCTAATTAATAATGAAGGGAACAATCCTATGCAGGTTTAGACCAAAATAAATCCTACAATTCCCAACATGCCCCGGCCAAAATCTCTATCTGGGGGCATGCTGGAAGCTGTAGCACTTTTCTGTCTAAACATACATGGAATTGTGCCCTCAATAAATTCATGTTTACTGAGAAATAAGCCCTACTCTACGCAATGAGGCCTACTCCCAAGCAAGTGTGCACAAAGATTAAAACATATCTAAAATTTTGCAATCCACTGAAAATTCGCGCACTGCTATACTATGGACAGCACGATCCTATTCACACAGCAGAAAGTCTTACGGCTTGCTCCCTAGCTTACTGTTAAGTTTATTTAGGGCACGATCCCATGTGAGTTCCACTGCTGGTTGAGGAATGCTAGAGCCTGGGGGAATCTCTCTCTATAAATACAAACAGAATAGCGCCCCTGGGGCTGCTGCCTGGATCTAAAGGCAGGCACGTTTACGAGGAACAAGCCCGCTGCGAGGAGGGGATCCTGTTGGGATCCTCCAAACCGGGGGGGGGGGGTCGGAAAAAAGCGGCGCGGCTGGATGTAAAGGAGCGCAGAGCCATGCAGGGGCCAAGGCAGGGGCAGAGACGTACAGGCGGCGTTGTGAGAGGAGTCCCTCAAGCCGTGGCCGCGCTGATCTCCCCGCAGACGAAGCTCGGGAGGCCGGGCCGTCCAGTGGCGGAAGGCACGGCCAGGCAGGCCCAGCAAGGTCTGACAACGGCGGAGCGCCCGCGAGAGCGGCATCGCCCATGTCCGGACGTGGGAGCGTTCACACGAAGGGGGCCGCCCGCCGCGCAGAGACGCGAGAGAAGCAGCGGCTACGGCGTCGCCCCCGAGGCTCGGCTCGGCTCGGCTCGCTTCCTTCCGCCCCTCTCGCCGCGATGCTTCCTTCCGCCTCCTGCGCGAAGCTCCGCAAGGGGGAGTCCGCAAGGCGTAGAGCTGGGCAAGCGCCTCCCTTCGTGCGTGTCATCGGCCATCATTTGGACGTGCATGCCGTCCGACAAAGCGCCGGAGTGGACCATTTCAAATAAGCAACCGCAATGAAGTGAATTCCTAGATAATTGTTAATTGTACTGATGTTTGGGAGGAGCAGGCCAAGGGAATATCCAGTTGGATACACGCACACCGCCAGCTGTCCTGTGGGAATGAAAAAGGGCTGAGGAAGAAAGGAGCAGACCGGGAGGACACCAAGGCGTGCTCCACCCGGACTGTCCGCCCCCACTAGACGAGAGGTGCAGCAGGGGCCACCGGTCCCGCTCAAAATCTGCTCTCCCCTCTCCCTCGCCCATCCCTTTCTTTGCGTGTCATCTTTTTACCGCGTGCAGGGTCTGCCTTATTTCACCGATTGTAAGCTGCTCCAAGAACGGGGTTTTTGTTTTGTTTTGTTTTTTGCTCGAGAAGGAGAAAAATATTTTAAGGGCACGATCCTATACGGTTAGACAGGGGAAAAGAGAGTTCTGCAACCCCCCATTTTCCCCAGCCAGCACGCATAGGATTGCGCCTTAACGTCCAAAACTGCCTTTAACGTTATCAGGTATGAATACCAGAACTGTCCTTCAATTTCTGGGCTGCATATATATCTCCATGACCGAACAAACTATATACAACAGGCTCAAAGCTGTTTTTCAGTGCCTTGCATAAATACAACTTCTTCAATTAATGCTTAAAAAAAAAACTCTAGATGCAATCTTATTTATTTATTTATTTATTAAAACATTTCTATGCCGCCCCTTGCCAAGGCCTCGGGGCGGCTTACAACATCAAATACAAAATACATTAAAACAATAACAATTAAAATATATACAGTAAAATAAAATAAGCCGCCCTGGCTGAATAAAATTCAATAATATTAACATTTAAAATGCTGTTTAAATAAAAAGGTCTTCGCCTGGCGTGGAAAAACAAATAACGACGGCGCCAGGCGGACCTCTCTGGGGAGCGCATTCCATAACTTAGGCGCCACCGCTGAGAAAGCCCTCCTCCGAGTAGCCACCCTCCTAATTTCCTTCAGTGAGGGCTCCCGGAGGAGGGCCTCTCCTGCTGATCCATTGCACTAAGTAGCCCTTATTTCAGAAAAACATGCATGGCTTAAACCAAAACATTGAAACTACATCATGAAACTTGCTCCCTTCTTAAGTTAGGGTACATGATGCACGCAGCTCTTGCCATGTATTATCCCGAGAAGCATCCATACGTTGTTGCAGCAAAAAGAAGCATTTTCTGGCACCTGGTAGACTTGCATTGATATGCCACAGCATTACAGCGCTCACACAACAGCTGCATAAAGTGTTGTCCTTGACTAGAAGATAGACATGAGTGTGTGTGGGGGGGGGGGGAGGCAGGGGTCAAAACAAACCACATAGTACATAGCTTTAAAATCCCCTTTCCCTCCCCCACAAAAAACACATCTGAAACAATTGTATAGAAACTTTCCTATAAGGATCACATACATCACCTTGAGAGGAAAAGGGTGATATAAATTAATAATGATGGAAACAATCCTATGCATGTTTATATTCACGAACATGCTTATGTTTGCCAGTCATAATATTGCTGCTCATTGCAGCACTAACTGGGGATTACATAATTGTCCAACAAGAAATCATTTCATTGGATCCAAATTTATGTTATTAGTATTATACTTCAAATATAACAAAAACAAAAGGGGAACGGCAACAGGAAAATAAAGCAGAAATAACGTAAAGGAGCAATCCTATGCATGTTAGAACAGAAAACAGTTCTAAATCTCTCAACATTCCCCAGCCAGGATGGCTGAACCCAAATTTCATAATCCTTAGGGTTATTCATGACTAACTTGCCTCACTGACTTCAATGTCTACTTCAAGCATTCACTAAGTGTGAATTCAACGCACTGCCTAGATGCAAGTCTATGCAGATAAAATCAGACTTCCTGGTGAGGTCTAATTCTGCAGTTTAGCCGAGAGCTGTCACAACAGGTCTTGCAAAAGGGTTTCCTGCCCCAGTACAGACATTTAGGAGTTGATTAACGAAGACGGGAGGGGGCATGTGTGGCGACTAGTATGCTGTTAGTAAACAATGTGATGAGCAGAGTCTTCAGCCTAGGCAACTTCAAAGAACTTCATCTGTAAACAGGAATGCCTCTTCTAAGCCAACACTTACCATCTGCATTGCACTTGTATTCACTTTAATGTTTAAATTATCCTTATTATAGCCAATAAACTGGGACACCTTTTTAATTAATCCAAAATATTTCTTAGCAATGAATCTGAGAAATTACTCCATTAGCCATTGCAGCCTAATTTAAGCCAGACTGATGCAGGTTACAGTGCTTGACCAGAGCACTGAAAACCCAAACTCTTGTCCCCACCCAGCCAGAAGGCACACTTGGGTGCCTTTTGAGCCTGTCACTGACTTTCAGCCTAACCTACCTCACTAGATTGTTGGGTGGACAAAATAGAACAGTGGAAGACTATGCCAGCCACCCTGGGTTCCTTGCAAGGGAGAAAAAACAGGCACTTCTTTGCCTTAAAAAGCCATGTTATCCAACTGTTGGGGGGACAGCACAAAACATGGGAAAACACCAAATGGGCAGTGGTTGGAGGAGAGCTGCCATTACCACCTGGAACGGGGCAGATTCAGGTCTTAGCCTCACAGGACCAAAAATAAAAAATGCAAAAACAAAACAAAAAATACAGAGTTGTGTGCTAATTCACATGTACTCTAAAGTCTGTGTGCATAAAGGACCTAGTCTCTTAGGGTCACTCTTATATTTAAAAAGGGATCTGTGAATGGAGGGAGGAGGGCATCTGATTTCAGAAAAAGACTTCAGGCAGAAAATTTCAAAGAGGGAACACACCCGTGGCAAAGAGCCCGCTCGCCCAGGGGAATCCGATGCAACAGAGATCCTTTAATTCCTAGACCTTTGTTCAACAAGTGCCCATTGCCAGCAGGGTGCTGAGGCAGAGGGCCTACCAGAAATTCAGGGCTCCAACCCTAGAGAGTCAGCCACCCATACAGCCTCTGGGAGACCCCTGAAGGCTGGACTGGGATCCCGAGAGGGCCGGGATTGACCCCTGCCCTGGGATGTTGCTCCCCCTCCACCTGAGGATGCCTGAGACGAGCCAGCAGAGCCATTTGCAACGCCGCCGGGCTAGGGAACTTGCATGTCGACCTCTTGCCCCACACAAACCCGCCTTGGGGTCCCTGAAGGAAAGGCGGACTAAATATTGTGACACGTGTCTAGCCCACCTTTCTCCGACAGCCTAAGTCAATCCATAGAAGAAACGGTTCTCGCAAACTACCCATTCGCTGCCAATTCTCCGCCCGTACCAGAAGCGGGGGGAAGCCGGCGCGCCCCACCTCCCGCATGGTGTCCTCACAACACCCCCGCAGGGTGGGCACCGCCTTGGCCCCCGCGCGCCGCCGCCCGGAGGCGCGAAGAGCAACGGGCGCCCTTCCGGCACCGCCCCCCCTCCCGCTCTCCCGCCCGGGCCGAGGCGCGCTCCCTGCCCGGGCGCGGCGCCTCGGAGGCCACCATGGTGGAGGTGAATCGCGCCTTCCTGCGCTCCGTGAAGGGCGCCTTGAAGATTGCCCGCATGGTAGGCGGCCAGGCGGAGGGAGGCCCGTGGGCGGCCGGGCTGCTTCGGGGCGGCTTCTCTCCCAACATGAATCGCGAGCGCTGTCCCGTGCCGCTTCAGCCCGGAAAAAGTGGGCTTGGGGGGGAACGCTGGGGGCCGTGGGGCTTTTCCCCGTCTAAATCTGCTTAGGATTGCCCCCTGAATCCGGGCTTCTCCATTTGCATCCTCCAGTTTTCAGCCCCACGCACTCACTTTTGAAGCAGGAGTGGGGGAGGTGCCTCTGAGCGCGTGCAGAGGGCATTTCTCGCTCCCTCACTGCCACCACTGGGGAGCCTCCGCGCAGCAAGGGAAGTCGGTAGCGCCTCTGCCCGTAAGGCTCCTCTCGTCATATTTCTGCGAGTTTTAAAGGTTGCATCCTGCGATGGGGCCGCACGGCACCCCCCAGATGGGTCCGCCAAGGACGACGACCGTCGCTCCCAAGAGACAAGAAGCAATGAACACGATCCCCAGCCTCCCCTGCCATCCAGCCGGGGATTTAGGAACAACAGATGTAAGAGGACTGGGGTGGAGGACTCCTACTAAAGCTCTGGCATCGCTTACTACTTTTTGTACACATTAAACCCAGCAAGCAGTCCTCTATATTCTACTGCTGTGAGTAACGGCAGCGTTTCTGCAAAAACAACTCCTGTGGGGCTTGCTCACTGGTAGCTGCTGCTGGGCCATGCTACTAGTCTGCTCCTGTGCCACTGTGGATACTTTAACTGTTTTCTTTCATTCCGCAGTTTATTTCTTTTCTCTTTAGAAAGGGGCATTTGCAGAGCCCTTTAATAATTTGCAAGGAAACAGCAAAAACCTTGAAAGCTATTCTCAGCAAAACTCTGCTACTTGCCTGTTTCCCCTAAAATATGACCTAACCAGAAAATAAGCCCTAGCATGATTTTTCAGGATGCTTGTAATATAAGCCCTACCCCCCAAAATAAGCCCCAGTTAAGATCGTCAGCCAGACAGACACGTTTAGTATGTCTGTTGCAAGACAATTTGAGGTTTGGAGAGTTATGAGAATGCTCCAGAAGAAGATGGAATGACTATTTGAATAAATGTAGATTGTTGTACATAAGACATCACCTGAAAATAAGCCCTAATGCGTCTTTTGGAGCAAAAATTAATATAAGACCCAGTCTTATTTTTGGGAAATACGGTTTTTCCTCTCTCATTTGCTTCTATTGAGTGTGTGCGAGCTCTTCTGGTGTTGCACTACAAACCTTCCCAGGTTAAAAGTTGCACATGCGGTCCAGTACTGTATGTAGGTACATGCTTGTGTACTGATTGAGAGATACCCATCCTTTCCATTATATTTTATTTATTTTACTTACTACATTTACTCCTGCTGCAAGATTTAACAGAAAACCATTTGAAATATTCCATCATTTTTTAAAATACTAACCTTTAGTTTTTCGTCTATGGAATTGACTGCCACAGTTTTTAATAAAGTCCCTGTTAGACTTCTCTGCTTGGGAATGTCACCTCAGCTATAAAACTGTTTTAAACCTTGCCACTGGAATAACCCTCTATCTATAGCAACGTGATTGCTATATAGTGTAGACATGGGATTGACACTGCCACTAAAGGCAAACTTGAGAATGAACAAAAAATGTTTATTAACAGAAATTGTTTAGGAGAATTAAATAAATAAATAAATAAATAAATAAATAAATTGTTACTCTTCAAATACTGTAATAAGATGCAATTTCTTAAAGGTTCTTAAATGTGATTGCTTACCATTCCAGAAAGGTGAGAAGGTCTTCCTCAGGTAAATAGTTCTCAATAGTTTTTACTTTAGATCAGATTTCCCTGAACTTCACCCTATCCAGTTCCTCACAAAACAGGGGTTTTATATACCATTCTTCATCTACTTCTGGTTCTGATTCTTCTGGCTGCTAAGAAGGTTCAGCTGGGGATACAAATATAATAGAAAATGAATTAATGAATACAAGATCCATCAAAACTCAAACAACTATATATTCCATTAGTCCCAAATAGAACATTGAATAAGCAAATAATACATTTTGAAAGTCTATGCTTTCAGTGGGAGTTTTAAGCTTTGTGTTTGATTCAGGTAGTTAATTTGGCAGAACAATTGTATTTTTAGGATGTCTGTATGATACTAAATATCTACTTTGTCATTTTTCTTGCAGGTTGCAGCTTTCATAGCTACCATTTGTTTTGGACTTACCAACATTCAGGAAGCATTTCTAACACTCACTATCATAGAACTTGTAGTTGATTCATTATTCTTCCTTTTGTATCTGCTGGATCTGCAGAAAGTGTTAACCTGGTTCTTTTGGCCCTTGATTGTAAGTATTAATTTGCATAAATCTATGTACACATTCTGAAGCCAATACAAAAGGCAGGTGTGGAGCTAGAACTTAGGGAATATAATAATTCTTGAAAAATAGGCTAGGTACAAATAGTTTTTGCTCTTTAATTCACAGTTCTGACTCTGATTTATATATGCAAACATTTTGCTTTGGCTGCAGTCCTAAATAACTTACCTAAGATGTTTTAAGTGTACACCTAAGGCCCTAAATTTTAGGGCCTAAATTTTTAGGGCCTAAAATGTTACAAATAGATATTTGTAACTGGTACAGTTGTCAAATGATATTGTCAGTGCGCCCAGCTGAGCCTGCCTTTACCACAATGTGTGAAATGGCCTTCACAGCTGCATGCATTCTTTATTATATTTCCGCTGTTCTGTACTAGGAAAACTCTGGCCCTGGGCTTTAAATTGCAATGGCCATTTCATATAAGGAAGTGATTGCTCAAGGCTACGGGCACAAAGTAGGGACAAATGTTTTAAGTCAAAATCTAAACTGGAATTGTTCTGTGTATTTTTTGCTAGTCAAGATTTGATCCTTTGTCTTTTTCTGTCTGATGGTGCAACATGCTTACTTGTAATATATTGTGTAACTGATGTTTCAGCCCTTCACTATTCTCTCAAATCCACATGGTTGAGAAGGTTTCATCTATTTACAAAAGAGAGTCTGTAGCTCAGGGACCAGGTTCATGTTTTACATGTAGTAAGTTTCAGGTTCAGTCCTCAGCATCTCTGGGTACGGCTGACTAAACTCCTTGTTGTGGTGTCTGTCACCCTGATGGACTTACTGGCAGCACTGCCCCCACAAGCTGAGACATGTAGTTGTAATCCACTCATCATTTTAAACTTAATAGCTCACTGTGGGGCATTGCAGAAAATTCAGTCCAGCAAGTGGTTTGAAGTCAGCTGCCACTAGCTAAAACAAAGAACAGACAGATGGGAACAGTCCAGACTGGGAGCGCGTCCAGGCAGATATTCTGTCTTTTCCTACTTCAACAGATGTTCTGCAATAAGAAGAAGACAAGGGTTGCAAAAACATGGGATGGTTAAAAATGGTAGCCATTCCCATTTGGACCCCTCAGCATTCTGTGAGTGAAACAGGCTGGCCAAACAGTTGGGATGCAGGCCAGTTCTATGCATGCTTAGACAGAAAAAAAGCCGTACAATTCCCAACATTTCCCTTCAGTGCTGGGAAATGACAGCTTTTTTCTGTCTAGATGTGCATAGAATTGCATCTTTAAAGCTTTATCTAGAAACAGCACAGATGGGCTGACACCATTCCTGAAGAACCAAACTAGATCAGGATTTGCCCCATTTTGTTTGATGTTTTGAACTAATTTTCAGCCCCGTTCAGTGTTTAGAAGAGCAAGGGCATGTTACTGAGTGACTGAATGGATGTGCATCAGTCCCTCCATCTTACTCCTCCCTAGCTTCAAGATGCCAGGGCAGCAGCATTACAGGGAGCCATTAAAATAGCAAGATCACAGATCTACCATGTCACATCTACTTTGAGAATTTGTTGGCTCTTTTCCGTCACTATTTTAAAAAATGTTTCCTTATTGAAATTGGTCCCTTTCCATTTTATTTGCAATGGAATTATGTTGAAAAGCTCTCAAATTACAACAGTCAGAGGATGCATTCATATTTATCTCCACTTTTCCAAGGTAACTTATTCTCAATCTTAAAAGCATTTTCTGTGTGTTAACCTTACTTATTTCAAGGTTGTAAGGACATCTGCCATGCTGAAAATGGGAAGTCCAAGGCTAAGGCTGCCTAGCAAGTATATGAAAGAGGCAAGATTCAAACCAGCATCTCCATGATTCATATTACAGTCTCTTAGCTGTGCTTCACCAGTCTTCACTTGAAAACTGATCTGGGCTCCACAGAAACTATCATAATTACATGCTGATATTCATACCAAGGCCTTTCAAACCAAGAACCTGGTGTTCTGCAAATCTGATAGAACTACCATTCCTATCATCCCCAGGCAGCATGGCCAAAGAATGAGAGTGCATACAGCAGGGTGATGGGCATGTTGGCTGGAAATGATGGAAGCTGTAGTCTGACATATCTGAGGGCACCAGACTGGAAGAGGCAGAATACATCCTTTCTGCCCCATGCTAAGAAAGCTAAATCCATTATGTATTCTAGGAAATAATGTTGGGTACTCCAGCTAATAAGTCTCTGCTAATCAAGTTGTCCTGAATGTCAGAACTGCATCATCATTATCATCATTAAATTTATTTCTTAGTCACATAATAAACCAGGCTCTGTACCACATATAGCAAAATGTTAACAATGAAAATGCACTGTTTGCAAGCCTTTAATCCTAGTATTATTTCACATGTTCATCAGCTGGGATATGTTTGGAGAGTAAAGGTGAAATCTTAAGCAGTTTGGGCATTACTGGTGGAAAGCCACTTGGTGGCACTGTTGCCTGGATTTAAATTATACATCTTTTGCTTTAGTATAAGAAAGGGCTCAAATGATTAAAGTAAACTTGTTTCACCATAGAAGCTTGTCTGCTGCTCAGTATAGGATTAATCACAGTCCCAACAAGCATGTAAAATTTTCTTAGCAATGGTTTATTACTTTGTAATAAAATTTACATTTTGGCTCAATAAAAGAATGGTCAAAATGAATAAATGTACAGAAAAAAGAGAATAGATAAATACAATGGATGGGAAGGTAGCATTAAGGGAAAAGGCAGGGGAGTCCAGTCATGCAACTCATAAATAATTCTTGGGCCTCTTTCACTGTGCATAGGTTTTGTGCAGACTATGTCATACATACTAACGACAAATTTAGTTCTCCACGTGCTGATCCTTATATAGCCAAAACAGCATCATCCGCACTCAAGAACAAAGTGTCAACAGGTTTGTAGGGAAAGCTCCCAACACTTGCATAACATAAGTTAGAGGGGGAAACTCCTGAGAGAAACAGTCCCAACAGCCTAGCCGGGATTGAGCATGCTCGGTGAGCATGGAATGCTGAGAGGGTGGAGGCGAGGAAAGCCCTGGAGGAGGACCCAGGGCAGGCACACTGAGCAGAACAATGAAACATGGTCCACTGTGCCATGTTTCATTGCTGTTCCCATTGCAATTACTTCTCAACTGAAAGGCTACAGCTACTAAAGAGGTGCAGGTCTCCTATCCCACACTCATTCTAGGATGGGAATTGGATCATTTTGAGCAGAGGTGTACCATTGGACTCAGTGAGGCAACCATCTCAGGCAGTTGATTCAGGTAGGTATTAGTTACATTACTATGTTCATTTATGTGTATGTCTATAGCAGAGAGTGGGAACGGGGGGGGGGGGTTCTGCCTCAGGTGCCAAAGTAACTTAGTTACCCTGGAGTGGGCTTGGGGGCAGGTGCCAGGTACTACTCTGTTGCCAGTAGCAATATGGCATCAGCCAGCACTGGCTGACATGTAAGCGCATTGTTGCATTTTGCAGGATGCCTTCAATTCTCTGGTGGCAGCTCTTTTCCTCTTCATTGTGGGCCTGTACGCAGTAATAAAGAAGATCCTAATTGAATCTTTAGTTGGAGGAGTAAGTAACACACCACTTTAAGAAATAAAAATACACATAAAAATACACCTGTCAAAGACGTCTGTCTGAGTGGACCACACTGCTCAGGGTCAGAGTAGGTTTTGCCCTTACTGCAACTGTGCCCCAAGACAGTGCATTACCTTCCTCCATTGTAAGCCATTCATTTACATGGAAGAATGTAAACCATTTATTTCAGGCCATCGGCGGTTTGAAGGCTAAACCTACTAACAGACTCTGATGATGACTGCAGTAACTTAAGTAAGGTGTTTCCCATGTACTTTGTTCCATAAAGTTGAGTGCAAGTCAGTATGTCCTTTTCAATTTCAATATTCCCAGCTTGCTAAATTTTGGCTAGTAAACTATGTTTGGATCTCAACCACTGGTAGGAGCTTTGCACCTGATACAAATAGTTGGTGTGAGGCTCCATCCAGATTGGGATCTCAGCTAGTGAGATTTCCATTTTACCTAGGTGGCTCACAATATTCTGCCTGTTTAAACGGGAAAAAGCTCTAAAATTCCCAGCATTCCCCAGCTGAAGAACATTGGGAGCTGATTTTTTTAGGACAAAAATATACTACATGCATAGAATTGTGTCTTCAGAGTAGCTTATCAAGATGTCCTTGGTATTATTATTCAGGTGAAGTCCAAGGAAGTGTTTGCCAAGTAAAAGGAGAGAAATTACTTTATTGAATGTGAAATGCAAGCAATTTCTTATTTATCACAAATTCACAAACAGAACTAAGTAACTGAGCTGTGTCACTTCCTGTAAACCAATGATTTTATAATATTCCATATGTTTTTTTCTGGAATCTGAACTGATTTTTTTTCCATTTGCAGGTATTTTGTCTGATTCTGTGTGCTCTCTGCGTAACAGATGCAACTCTTATTATGTTGAAGGTTAATTTTAATAGAGGTGCCCCAAGGACAGTTTCTCAGAGATAGAATGTCCAACAAATAACATTATAATCTGTTTGGAAAACCTAGTCAACAATAGGCTGTTGGTGTCACTTTTTTCTTGTATTTTCTACACACTAAGAGCCAAGCCAGCCAGTCAAGCACTTAAAAAACTTACTGATCTTAAACAAAATGCTAAGCAAATGCTTAATTCTTCTATCAAAATCAGCATTATAAAAAAGTGTTTAATTTCAGCTGGATTGTGCCCTTATATTAAAATATGCATCAACAAATGTAAATTTGTTCTTATACACTTGTTTTCTAAAATTCCTTTTTACCAGTATGAAAAATCTGTAACAAAAAATGATCCAATGTACTTTATGAAAGTTCCAACCAGCATTACATTTCAAATGATTATCAAGTGATACTTGCTGAACTTGTTTTTGTTAAATCTTAATGTTTTGAATTAAAAGAATTGCATGTAATGCTATTCAGTTGTAAGTATGTATTGTAGAACAGACAGGAATACATGCATTACTAGCCCAGCTCAAAGGGGTGCAAAGAAGCACTTTCTCACATGCTTGGTGTGAGATAAGAGTTTGCCTTTCTTCATATCCCACTCAAGAACATCTACAGAAGGCAGAGAAAGTGACGTATAAAAGTGTCTATATTTTCATTGGAATGAGCCAGTGCCCTTTGGTCATGCTTCAGCTTGCTGGTTCACACCTCTGTTTACTCAAGCCAATCTCCAGCCTGAGAAAGAACTATTAAGATTATGATGATACTACATGTATACCCACAACCCCCCCCCCGTTACATTTTATCCTTACAACAACGAAGTTATGAGGTGGGTCAGACTGGAAGTCAGTGCACAGTGCAAAGTCACCCAGTGAGCAGGGTCCAAACGGACCAGCACACGCAGAGATGCTGCTGGTTCCTTTGCAGTGCTCAGTGTTTCAGCTCTTCAGGCTAGGTCTGTCTCTGATACAATGCAAAAACTTGGGATGGCTTGGTCTTGAATAAGCAGCTAAGAGCATGATCCTATGCATGTTTAGACTGGAATTATGGGCTACAGTTAATACTGGCTGGGGTACACAGGGATGTAGTCTGCTTTTTCTGTCTAAACATGCTTAGGATTGCTTTTTCTGTCTAAACATGAACCCTGCCCTGGGTGGCAATAAAAACTGCTAAAACGTTTTTCTACTGAAGAAAAAATGTCTCCCTGGTACCTTGACCTGGCTACATACACATCATATATATAGATACAAATCAACACAACACACACACACACACACACATCAACACAAGTACCTGTGCTTTCCAGCTCCCTTGGGCAGCTGTGGGGATTGTGATGATGAGTGCTATGCCTGGCCTTTAAATAAAGTATCTGCATATACAGCCATCAGCACCCACACACTCAAGAGGGAAGCGTCTTGTGTGGGGCATCCAAAGCTGTCAGTGCAAAAGAACTCTGCACTAGCCTAGGAGAGCTATAAGAAAAGGTAGTCTCCAAAACCTGCCCTGATTATTCAATTAATTGGGAGGGCAGAAGAGGGTGTGCAAGCAAATGCACGGAGGTGGCTGAAACTCTGGACAAGCAGCATTTCATACTATGATATTTCCTGTATGCATTCATTCTATTGCTATCCCACTGTTTCCTGCAAGGAGCACGCACCTCGTCTCCATTTTATCCTCATGACAACCCTGTGAGGTAGGGCTGACAGTGACTGTCCTCAGGTGAAAGTCGCCGAGCAAACGTTATGGCTGGGTGGGGGCCCGAGCCTCGACCTGGCCTGCTGGAATCCCAACATCTGGGGACCAAGCCGGGACGCCCTTCGCTTCCATCCCCTGCCGGTGGTGTATGGCACCCCCTCGCTTTACCAGAGCAGCTCCCGAAGCGGACGGAAACGCCCACACCTGGCCGGCTGACACGGATGCGCACCTTGCGGACCCAGCGCGGCCTCGAGGGCCGTTAGGACGAGCGCTGCCCTTCAGCGCCGAGCCCCGTTGCCGTGCGGGGCTTGCGCAAGGAGGCGCCTCGGAGCAGGCGCGCTTCCCCCACCTCCCCGGCGGCGGGAGGAGGTCGGGGCTGGGTGGGACCCGACGTGGCAGCGGGCTCGGCTCGGCTCGCTCGGCTCGGGGCGAGGGGCGCGGCGGGGGCGGGGGCAGAGCCTGCCCGGCCGCCTCCCTCCCGCGCGTCTGCTGCTGCGCCCCCCGCCTCGCCGCTGCAGCACTTCCGCTTCTCCGCCCGCGAGCTCGGCAGCTGCGCACCGCCTCCCTGCAGACCAGCGGGGCGCCCACGGAGCCCGCCGCCGCCGCCGCGCCCAGGCATGGAGCGACCCGGCGCCGGGGAAGACCCCGACCGGGCCGAGGGGCCGCCGGGGGCGAGCCTCCTCCTGCCCGTCAAAGAGTTCCTGCGCTCTCGCAAGGGCATGTTCCTGCTGGCCCAGGCGGTAAGAGGGCGCGGGCGTTGCAGGGCGAGCGGGCCGCCGGCCCCTTGCAAACCCGGGCGGGCGTGGGGCCGCGGCGCTCGTCGGCAACAAAGCGGGGCTGGGCTGCCCCGCGCCGCCCCCACCGCCAGGGCTCCCCTCGCCCCCTCCGGCGCGCGCTGGGCGCGGGGCTGCCGAAGCGGAACCGGCCCGCGGATCGCCGCGTGCGAGGATCCGTCCCGCGCACGCGCCCGCCCGGGAAAGCAGGCGCTCCTTGCGGCCGGCCCAGCCCGCGCCATGCCGTGCCGTGCCCTGCCCGCCACGCCCACCCGGCCGAGGTTTGGGCGCTGCACGGCGGCGGGCTCGCGTGTTGCGGGCGGCGTGTGAGCCCGTTTGCGGCAAGTCATGGGTCTTGGGATACCGTGCGAAGGCGTAAGCAGCCTGAGTTGGGGCGTCGCCCCTTCCGACTTTCTCGCCACCCCGCTTTTTAACGTAAAAGTAATGGTTAAACAAGATGTGATGTTTTCTGTTTAAAAGGCGTGCAAACCAAGTGAACGACCCCCGTTTCCCCGCCCTGGCCCACCCCGATCTCTCCAGTTGCTGGACTGCAGCCGAGGCAGTGTTGGGGCGGGTGTGGTTGGGCTTGAGCCCCTGGAGTTGCTCCTCTTCCTCACTCTGACCTGTTGGGAGACACCAGCTGAGGCGGCCTTGTGCACCGACCCCCAAAGACCTGCAGCTGGCACCAAACGTTGTCCATGGAAGCTTCGGCCTTAATTTGTGCATCGTTAAGGTGCTGTAAGGCTCTTTATTAGTTGTTCTCTGTGGTGGTTTCCTTCTGGGTTGTACCCTTGTGGATGTAGCCCAGAGAGGTTCAACTGTGGGAAGGTATAGAAATGAAATAATGACAATAATAATAATGGATAGGTAACGTCCAAGAAGTTTTCTGGAAGCCGTACTTATAAAGCAGCAGCAGAGTTTGCCCCGCAAGTGCTGCAGGCTGCACTAAGGGATTATTCTGCACATGCAGGTCCGTCCTTGAGGGCACTGGAGCTGGGAAAGTGGCTTCTGCTGTGGCAGCGATGGGAATCACAGCACAGCGCATCTGGCAGCATCAGGTTGCAGGAGGCTGCCCGAAAGGCTGTGTGCTCAGGAAGGAAGGAAGAGTGAAGTTTCATATTGACACCACATGACATTGCTTCTTGTGTCTGGTCTGGCGTGTGTGCACACATGCGCAGAGGAACTTGTGTGAATGGTCCCCCCCCTCTCTCACTGAAAGGGGATGAGGGTCTTGCCTTCCAGATGGATTGGGCTACATGTCCCAACCGATCCAGCTAGCCATGCTGACTGAAGGGTGCCAGGAGTTGTAACGCAACCTCTTGGGGCACTAGATCATGATAAACTAAATTAGGGTATCAGCAAGTTTTAGTACTTTTTGTTGTTTTCTTGTGTTTGATGTAATGGAAGCACATGCTGTTGTCTTTAAAGTTTGAGAGGTATTACCATAAAAGATGATAAAGTAACATTAAGCATTAAAGGACTAATCCTGTGGCCATTACATAGTATCTGTGATTTCATGGGATATTTGGGATTCCCATATCATAGTTTGGAGGTACTGACTTGCCCTTGGAGCTGGGGATCAAAGCTCAGGGCCCACCCCCACCCGTGTCGCTATGCAGAATGAACGGTGCCACCCGTTCTCCAGGGTTGGGAAAGCAGCCTCAGGGAAGGGAGAAAGGGATGCTTTGGTAGGCAGAGAAGGGAAGAGTTTGGAGTGAATCGTCCTGAAGCTTCCCCAGTCTCCCACAAACGTTTTAGCTGACTTGTTTGGCAGAAACTCAGGGCAGGAGCCAAGGAGGTGAAGATTGTTTCCGCTGCTTCCCCCACCCTGCCTAGGACAAGCATAAGCCTCCGAGTTTGGGGCTTGCACTCTTCACTATTGGATTGGGCGCACAGCGCACATTAGCAAGGCCAGTCAGATATTCCAAGCCAAATTCCTTTGGTGTATTAGAACTCATAACTGGAATGGGATACTTTTTATTGTTGTTGTTTATCTTAAATTAGATCACTTTCTGGTGATCTTCCAGTCTTAAGTTCTGAGAAATTTCCATTTACTGTATTTTTCCGTCTATAAGACGCCCCCATGTATAGCACGCCCCCCCACTTTTCTTACTGATCTCCGAGCGAGTGAGCAAGCTGCTGCCTCGCCACGTGCGCGCTCACCGCCTCCCCGTGCGCAGGACCGCAATTAAATGGGGCTTACTCAAAGGCAAGTGGTTAGGAGATTGTAGTCATGCTCATGGTGACTGGTTTGAATATGTAGCCCCTACTCAGAGCTTGCCAGGTTGTGTGAACCCAGAAATCATGGGTTATACAAGGCTTAAATTATTTTTACAGCACTCATGATTCACTGCTTAACCTCAGAGACATCAGTGTCCTATCACAAGCTGTTTCAGAGGAGAAACCATTTCCAGATTCTAAACAAAACTGGTTGCATAATTGTTTCCAAAAAGCCAGTGGGCCTTCTGCTGCAGCTCTCTCACAAAGGCAGCCAATGTGCTGCTTGCATTGAATGTCTGACCAATTTCCTGAGTCTAAAAATGCAGGAACTTCTGCCTGTGAAGAAGAGGCCTTCTTCCTGTAAAAGGCTTCCTTGTTTAGAATAATTCAGCAGAAAGTAAAAATCAGACCAAGCGGTTCACTTCTGTGAATGCTTTTTATTCCTGTTTTTTCTTTGATACCATGAGCAGTCGCTCATTGACAGTGTGGCAACCTCATCGTAGTCTAAATAAATTACTCACACCCTGAGGAAGGCACATAGGGAAGCCCCTCGAAGAAAGGTCTGGCATCTCAGGCCATCTGCTCCAGGAGGACATGCTCCTTCAGATATTTGGGCTGCAATCCATTCGGGGTGGGGGCACAGAGCTCTGTTACAGAATGGGCCAGATTTCCCCACCTCCAGGAGCTCCATGGCCTGTGTGATTCACTGGGTGTATCCATACCCATGGATATCATCTTTCTGCCAGTTTCAGCATTTCTCTTTGAGCATGGAGAAAGCAACTTGGTGGACCCTGGTGGACAATCCACTTCTCCCAGCACTGGCCAAGTCACTGGCTTTGCCTGGTATCCCCGTCGCAGCAAAGAAATTTGCCTAAGGACGTAATAGCAGGTCCTTGTTTTTCTCTCTCAAAAGAGATTATATGAATCTCAAAACTATTTGTTTTTGTTTGAGTTAGGGGCAAAAGGATGGAAGTGGCCCCTCCTCATCAGAATGCCTAATTCTCAAACTATTTTCAGAATCTGAACTATGTTCAGTAAGCAGAAATTCAGAGATTTGACTTTCCAAGCAGAAGTGACAATGCTGAATCAGCAGTATTCGACTATTAAGTGGAAAATCCAAATTTCTAGAGTTGGCTTAATACTTGGTACAATAAAACATCCCATCCCTTTGCTGGCATATTGGACAGTATATGCTGCAAAATGTATTTCTTTCCCTTCCCACAAGAGTTGGGCAACTTCAATCCCTCGAGTCCAGTGTTCATCAAGAGATACTCAACCTTTCTAAATGTGAAATACAAGTGCTGATTTCAGTAAAAAATCAGTGCCATTCATAAATACGCCTCATGTAATACATTTTATTTGAAAAAAAGTTACCATCAATGTTGCAAAAATATATTTCATGTAATGTAAACAGAAAGTATAAATACATTAAAGAACTCAGTTATTATTTGGTAACTAAGTAATTACATTTATTTATTCATAGCTTTTATATCGGTGGTATTGAGACATTGCTGAGTACATACTAAATTTTAGTATAACAGTATGGAAAATCATACTTCATTTTAACAATTTGGATGTGCTTGGTTTTTGCCACAAAGAAAATACATGTGTGGTGTTGATGTTAGTTGCAGGCACATTTCTGGTTCTGCCCCCGTTTTATGCCTGTATTTAGCCAGCATGATTGTTATTCCTTGCAATCTGAATCCACTTGAATGTAATCATTTTGGATTTAAGACAAATTAATCTGCTTTTAAAGGTGTGTTTTTAAAGGTTCTGTATTAAAATGAATGAAGACCTTACCTTGTCAGACTGCCCACTTTCTTTTAAATGAAACAAAGGAATGGTGATCTTCCCATTTCAGTGCAATCACAGGAGTGAATCCCGCGGGGATTCTCACAGAACCCCAGGCTTTTGGGGAAACATTTTGAATACTGTGGTTCTGGGAATTTTGGTCTGCAGCCTCCTGAGCCCTCATCAGTATAGCAATGGTTACAGATCATGGGAGTTGCAGACAAATGCATCCGGAGGGCCCCAAATTGCCGAGACCCTGCTTTATGCCAGCCAAGAACCAGCATCAGCTGAAACATTTCATATGCTCTGGCCTCACGTGACTGGAAGTACGGAGGTCGCACTTCCAAGAAAGTCTACAGTGCCTCTACTGAGCAGTCACAGTAGAAAAGCATCTAATGATACAAGGGCAATATTGGAACCATGGAGCTGACATCCCCAGTCAAAAGGTGTGATGCCCAATCATTGTAGACACTTCATTTAGTGCGCTTTTTAAAGTTAAGTGTGGTGTGATGGTTAGAGAGTTGGACTGGGATCTGGGAGACCTCAGTTCAAGCCCCTGCTCTGCCATAAAGCTCACTTTGGGCCATTCACTGACTCTCAGCCCAAGCTATGTCACAGGGTTGTTCTGAGAATAAAGGGAGGAGGAAGACCATGTAAACAGCCTTGGTTGCTTGCAAAGAAAAGGGACGGGAAACATTTGTTTCCTCCATATGCAGCAGCTTGTTCATGATGCAGGTTACGCAGCAGGAACATTGAGTGCCGAGGCATGCCCAAGTTTTCAGGACCATCCATGATTTCTTGTGATCTAGACAGTTAAGGCCTCGGTTATAGTCTGTACACATAGATGGGTCATTTTCTGAAATTCTTTGGTGCACTCCAGGAGCTATAAATGTAATAATTAATGAATAAATGACCAAGATCTGAAGAGCACAACTATTTCTGTGTATCCAAGGGATTGCAGATTTGTGAATTTCCTACAACTCCACTCCCAAACTTGGAGATCTGCCTAAATTACAAGTTCTGCTATGCAATGCATGCAAGTATTTATTGGGAGGCTTGTAAAGACTTACTTAGGAACCCAGAGGCCTGGGGGGATTATCCATCCCAGGAGTTTTTACAGAGTCCCCCTTTTTGGTGTTTGTTTTTGCTGTTTTAAACTTTTCAGTGTTTCTCTGATTTTATGCTATTTTATTATCTTGTTTTATGGGCTGCACAGAGACCTTCGACTTTGGGGCTGTATAGACAAGGAAATGGAAATGATGGCGAGGAAAACAGTGACAAAACAGAACAGCCCTTGGCAAACCAGAGCTGTCCAGATGTGCCAGACTGCCACTTCCAGCTTTCCTAGCCACTAGACTTTTATCTACCATATTCAAGTGATTTAAGCTACTGGTTAAACCTGGGCAATTTGCAAATCTTAGACTGCTTCTTGGTTCCCTTCGGGAGAAGATCAAAATTTATCTGTTCTGCAGTGGGTTTTTTCACTATTTACCTTCTTAGGATTTTATTAAGCTCTTCAGCATTCAAACTTACAAACGTGCACTGTGGATACTAGCTTGATTTTTCAGGGTTAAAATAAAAAAGAACCATGCCTGGAGTTTTCCTCCTCAAAACCATCTCAGGAGGTGGGCAACTGCAGACTCATCTTTCCAGTGTTACAGATAACTTACGATCGATCATTTCCTTTGCCCTGTAGGTGCTGTCGTTTATCATCTTCATCTGTTATATTGCCTCAAAAGCAGCAGCTTTCCTGATGGTACCCTTGTTAACCTTCCTGCTGGCCCTGTTCTTTTTCTTCGTGAATTCCTTAAAACTGAATGAAAGGTTCAAAGGAATCTACTGGCTTCTGGCGGTAAGTGGATGCACACATGGGAACAAATGGAAAAGCATCTGCAAAATGATTTCTCTCCCTTTCTCCTTCCTAAACCCGATACAGTCCCAACACATGAGAAGACAAATCGCATCACCCCACTCAACATGGTCATTGGTGGTGCTGGCTGGGGCTAATGGGAGTTGTTATCCAAAGCCTTTGATAGGCACCCACTTAGAGAAGGCTTTTTCTGCCTTCTCAGTTGGAATACCTGAAGATGGGGAGGGGAGGGGAGTGTGATGATAAAGTGGGAATCCTGTGCGGGTCTCCTGTGTCAATGGGTATAGTTTTCCTGGCCACCTGCTCTCATGGCAGCCAGAGCAAAAAGTCTCACCATCCCCACATGACCCCACAACTAAGGTTCGCTTGCAGCAGCATGCCAGAAGATGCTCCTAGTGCATAGTGGCCAATGTTCACCGTTTCCAGATCTCCTGTTTTCATATCAGCATGTTGTAAACTGCGGCACAAAGTTCACACGAATCAGCAGGGCTCCCTGAGCCGAAATAAGTTAACTTGCAGCCTCTCCCCATCACCCCATACCCCACTTTTCTGATTCTATAAACAGAAAGAGAGGCTGTAATCCCACACGAACTGGGGGGCTGGTGTCTTGCGGCTCCACTCTTTCCGCCACGGGCTGGTAAGCAGACACTTTGGTCACTTTCCATTGCTTATAGTCCACCTTTCCCCAGTCTTGTGCCCTCCAGATTTGGAGGCCTAGCTGGGGAATGCTGGCAGTTGCAGGTTGACACATCTGGGGAGCACCAAGGCAAAGCTCCTTGAAGCCTTGATGGGCAAGCGAGTGAATGGGGGCTCATTGATGGGCAAAGTACTTTCACTTATGGGCAGAAGCAGCACCTGAAGCCCAATATTTGTTGACCGTTCTGGCTCCTTCACGTGGCAGACGTGCTCCGCGCTCCTGCTGCCACTGCTAACAACACAGCCACAGAAATCACAGCTGGGCATGCTGTGCCTGGCTGACTTGCCTCTCCCTCTTTCCTGTTTGCACTCCCCAGGGGCCAGCCATCTGCTGAGAGTTTCATGGCCCGCTGGGTCTCCTAGTTCTGACTCTGCAGCGGGGGCGGGGAGGCAGCTGCCCACCTGCCACGCCTGCTCAGCTCAGGCTCTTTGGGCTACCCATGCATCAAACTGTGTCCAACGTTTGGAAGCGGGTTAGTGAGAGACTGAGGACACAGAATAGGAGGGACATCTTCACATAGTGCATGGCTGAGCAGGAATTTGCCAGCTTGGTGGCTCTGAATACCTTTTAAGAGTATTGAAAGGTATCATGCAGATTCATGCATGATAAGGCTATCAGCAGCTACTAGTCCTAAGTCGCTTCCAGTTCTTCTTTGTGGTCTCTGAGCATCACAGATGGGGCTCTGTGCACATGCATGGAGCCTGATCAGGAAGGTTCTGAAGCTAATTAATTTCTCTTGGCTGGAGCCCCTTCCCTGGACATGCCCTGGTATGAGGGAGGGGCTCCCGCCCAATCCTCAGTTCTTTGACCACCACTGTGGGGGCATCGGGAAGTTCCTCCTCTGCTCCTCATAGCTATATGCTTCCCTTCCTTCTGTGAGTTCTTTCCTCCTCTAACTGAGATCTTCATCCTCTTTCTCATCTCCTTTCTCTTGCCTTCTCATCCTAACCACCCCCTTAAAAAACATAAATATCTGTATACGCCATCCCACTGCCCTCTACTGCCCTGCACCTCATTCTGTCCGTCTCTGGCTTTGTCTTGCCCTCCTGGCCTCAAAGCTCCATTTAGAAACTGCGCAGGCTGCAGCCAGCAGCCACTCGCGTTGCCTCTCCTGCCTCAGGGAGAGCCACTTGGTGGAGGCCTGCGACCACCGCTCAGCCTTCACCCGGCGAGCAAGAACACGCTGGGCTGCTTGCCAGAAAGCGGAGCTCTGCTACAGCATCCTCTGCGAGGCTGGCTTCCCACAACCGCCAGAGCGGGAGGCAGCACTGGGTGCCAGGTGTCTTCTTCCACACCACCACTGGGTGGCAAGGCCTCTGGCACTCTCCCCAGCCCCAGGCCACACCCTGAATATCACCAAGGGCGAGCGCCTCCAAAATGGCTGACACAGCTAAAGCCAAAGATGACGGCAGACACACCAAGGCCAAACGCTGTGATAAGCTGCCCTCCCTGCACGCCCTGGACATGGAGCAAGAGCCCGACACCAAGCCCTGCTCTTCCCTGGCTGCAGGGGGAGGCCGGGAGGCCTTGGCACTGCCCTGCCAGGTGGTCTTGGCCACCTTGTTTTTGGAGGGTGAGATACATGATCTCATTTTCTGTGAACTGGCCAGACACGAGCTCTCCAGACCAGTAAGCCGCAAGCTGTGGCCACCTCCCCGCACCTGTACACCAGAGTGCCCCTGCCAGACCTCAGCAAGGCTGCCACCTGGTCAGACCCGTTGAGCTTCGCGAGACACTCCTGCCTCGATGCTTCAATCCTCTGGTAGCAGCCCTGCCTAATTCCACGAGGGAAGCTCGCCAGTTGCCCATCGGCGTGAGGCACAGAGGCCACAAAGAATAAAGGCAGGCTGCTTACCTGCAGCGGTGGCTCCTTGAGTGGTCCTCCGTGCATTCACACAAACCCGCCTGCCTTCCCCGCTTTGGTTTCACCTCATGGCAGCCAAGTGCCCCCTCTGAAATCACGGGGGCGCCTGGGGTCTTGTGTCTCTGGGCTGGGGACCACCATGGTGGCCTCATGGCTATCAGGCCCACACCCTCATGCCAGGGTGTGCCTGGGGGATATACATCCATTAGCCTCAGCATCCTCCTGAGCGAGCCCCACTCACGTGCAGAGCCCCATATGTGTGAATGCACAGACGACCACTCACGTTGCAGCAGCCAACCTTCGCGAAGGCAGCACGCTCCTGTGCCCCAGTCGCGGGGAAGGTGCTGTGGCATCCCTGCCTTGCTTGCACAGTGTGGGTCGGTAGTCTGACCCCACACAGCGCCTCTTAACGTGACTGGGTGGGCGTATTGTCCGCTTCCCTAGAATCCTGCCATGAATACCGGTTATTCTTCAGACTGACCACTAGATGCTGCTGTGCTTCCAAACAAAGGCCTTGTTCAGCCAAGCAGATTGGGAAAACAGAATCACAGAGTCACACTCCAGTTTACTTTTTCCCTGACTGTTATCTTCCACCAGGCACCTAATCTCCTAAAGCAGTAACTGGTTTGCCAGGGCAGTGCTAGTCATGTCCTGTAGAAAACCATGGATGACTTGCCCATAAATGCATAAAATTTAGCTCACCTCCCCTTTGTTGTTTTGGAATGTTCTGGAAAGGTATCAAAGAGAAAATGGAATGAACGTGAAGCCTATGAACAGCTTGCAGAATTACACCAAGTAGGGAATCCCCTTTACTACCTCCAAGGGACTGGCTTTTCAGAATGGAAAACTCTGGTCTTCCCACGTGTTCAAGAGCGGAGATGTTCGAGCTTTTTGCAACAACTGAGGCACCCTTGCTCCAGAAGCAGCCTTATCAGCTCAGTCCCTTGGTCCACCTAACCCCGGACAGTTGACTGGCAGCAGCCTTCCTGGGTTCAGGAAATTTTTTAGCCTTAGGGGAAGATCATGGAGAACAAGCGCAGGACGTTCTGCCTGTAAAGCAGCTGCTCTGCCGCTGAGCCACAGCCCACCTCCTGTTGCTAAAAAGCTAAGGAGGCTGTTTGTAAGCACCTGTCAGCGCAGCCTAGCCAGAGGTACCACCTGTGAGCTGTCACATGCACAAAATCGCTCTGGGTGCATCTGTTCATCTGGACCATACTGAACTAGCTGCATCCCTTTTTGAGTCAGTGTCCCATCCCTGTCTGGGACCTCTTAGGGCCCATCGATTTAGTTCAACTTATTTCCTGTTTAAGAATCCATTCGATGGAAATGTGGTCCTGGAACCGGAAATGTGTTTTTTGCCACCTAGCCTATCCACCTCACACCTAGCCAGACTGTAGAATAAATTCTGGAAAATCCATCTGATTCCAATTCATTACTCTTAGTGATCAGAGGAAGCTGTCTCAGCTCATCTAGGGACTACCAGATACAGGCTCTCAGACAGCAAGCAATCGGTGCGAACGCCAACAGGAGTGTGGCAGTGGAGTTGGCCAAGGGGAAGGCGCCTAACTATTCTTCTTCTTTCCTATTCGTTCTCATCCTTGTACCACATTCTCATTTACTGGTAGGACTATGTTGTTAACCATCAGGGAAGACATGAGAAAGTACTGGTGGTTACAACACCAAAGTAGAATCAGAAAGGTAGCAGAAAGTATGGACAAAGAAGACACTCAAGTGATAGAGACCAGCAAAGTCTAGGAATTCGTGTTTTCTGACCTGAGGTCAGCATGGCCTACACATGCCATGAGTGCAAGGCTGAAGTGAGATCGTTAGAAGGGAAGTACCCACCCTCAAAGGAATGAGAGAAGCTGGAGAGTTTTTAGACAGAGCGGTTTTTAGACAGAACTGCAACCGCTAAGTGGAGGACAGAAGCTAGAAGTGCAACATCAAGATGAGGCACAAGAGGAATCCCAGTGGAAGGGAAAATGAAAACTCTGAAAAGCGGGGATAGTTAGGAGAATGATTTGAAGACACTCTGCAGCAGTGGAAGTAGTGGAGTTTGACACGTCTCCTGGGTGTTGCTTCCTTGCTAACAGATTTTCCAAACACGTTATTTTGCAGGATTTCATCTGTGGTATCATCGCTGCCATTATATACTTTGCCATCTCAATTGCTGCAGTCTCCAAGTACTCTGACACCGCATCCAAAGCAGCAGGAGTAAGTTACTGGTTCAGGCTAGCCTGAGATTGGGTGCTGAAACAGGAGTGGGCCGGTTCTGAGCTTGCAGGAACGACTTGTGTTGCACTGGAATTTGGGCCTGCTGGCCAAAAGCTCATGCAACATAGTGGGACACACGTTCTGAGATCCCCTCCGTTAAGCAAGAATGCTCTTTAGAGGGAGGAGAAGCGCTTCTGCCATGCAGCACAACACTTAGGCTTTAAGCAAAATTGGCAGATGGCTTAATGAGCATAAAAAGAAAGGTTACCTGCTGGGTGAGATTATTATCTTCTTTTCCACTCTAGAAGAACTTCTGTGACCTTTGCCGAAAATTTGTCATCAGTCTTTCTTCTAGTTCTGTATTAAGAATGAATGGTGTGTGTAAACAAATCTTTTATGATAAAAATATTTTATTTCACTTTAACAGGTTGTATGTGCCAGGGTGGATAAAAATCAATTGGTTTTTTTAAATAAAAGACTCAATTTTTTTTAGCTTAAATTGGATTTTTAATTTAAATTGGATTTTTTAAAATAAAATGTTTTTTTGAGGAAAAATCTACCTAGTTTCCTATTTAAGATACATTATAGTCCAAAGGCTATTCATCACATAATAAGGATTTGTTTTTAATTGTGTAGCATGTTCATGCAATGTTTAATTTTTTTGCTAAATGAATTCCATTAATCCATTCACAATGTCATGCTTTTCCAGAGATTTCCGTAAGATTATTGGGCAGTTTTCTATCTAGAAGATACTATCACAGATGCTTGGTTTTACAGTTCTCAAAACTGTGAATTTGTTCCTGCAGAGATCACATGCCTCTTCACAGCAGAAATGTTATAAAATAAACATACAGAATTAATAATTAATCCCATTATTCCTTTGCAAATCTAAATACACAGAATCAATCCCTTATCTCTAAAATGCTAAGTTTCAAAACATTCAATGAATAGAAGAAGATTGTGGGGAGTGGATTAGATCTGTAGAAGACGCTAAGTGTGAGGAGGGAGAGACAAGCAGTAAAAATGAAAGTGAAACCTTTGAGCAGAATACTCCATGAGTCTGTGATGTTTTTTGTATGGCCTGGGATTTATCATATTATTCTTTCCCTGGCAGAAAAAACCTAGTTTGGGAATATTTTAATGACATTTTACCTACTTGCAAACCCATGATTTAAATCTAGTCTTATTGACTGTTGATTTACATTGTGATTTAAATTCTGATTTAAATCCACTCTGGTATGTGCAAATAATATATTTGAATTTGAAATGCCAAACTATTTTGCCCAGATGCTCCTATTTCCTGGCCCAAGTCAAATTCTAGAAGACAGGAATTCTAATCCTGTATGAATTCAGTTTCCTCCAAAGTTATTCACCCTCCTTTCAAATGCCATCTCTTCTTCTTTTTTAGGTATTTGGTTTCATTGCCACAATTGTCTATTGTGTTTATGTCTACTTTGCCTTTAACGACCTGGTGACATTTCTCAAGCAAGGAGAGTCTTCTGAGGGCCCTGAGCCACATAAATCAACTGGTAGGTAAAACCAGATTTTCCTTGCCACCTACCACAGATCGAACTCCATCAAACCATGTGAGCTGGTCTGCCTAGTCACATGCAAAGCCCTTCCCATCAGCGCATGCCCAATTCAGGGCAGTCTGCACTGACAAAACACCACCTTTTGCCTTTAGAATATTTTGTTTGTATGGGGGTATTTTGTCACACATTTCTAATTCTATTTTTCAAAAAAGCCAGACTGGGCTGTACAAGGCAGAGAAGAAAAATGAATGACTGAAACTGGAATGGCCTCCTGTATCCTGCAGGACCCCGGAAGTGCCTCTTAGGGCAGGATATGGCTGTTTATTTGGCTGGATGTGGCCTCAGATGACCAGGTCAACTCCCAGACTGGGAATTTTCTGATAATGGCATGCTGGGAGTTGTAGGGATTTTTTTGTCTGTCTAACCATGCGCTGGATTACAAACTCATTTAATGTACTGGTATAGTCTCCCCAGAACATGAATTATCCTGGCAGCTCACAGAACAAACAGCAACTTGTGGGCCTCCGGATATTTTGGCCTATGATTCCCATCATCCCTAACCAATTAACCAAATAGTGAGGGGTGATGGGGGTTGTAGACCAAATTTGACCATGCTTGCTCTTCCGATTCCAGTCTTCTGTGAGCTTGGTCGGACTGCATCAAGGCACAGTCCTATGCATGGATTTAGATGGAAAATGCATGGGTTTACCTGGAAAAGGGGCCTGCAGTTTCCAGCATTCTGCACACAGTGTGGCTGGCTTGGAGTGCTGTGACTTGTAAACTTTTTATGCCTCAACATGGATAGGATTGTGCCAAAGTTTATTCTGAGATGTTATTCAGTTTATTCAGATTATGCACAATTTTGAGTATGTCTTTAGTTATGATAAACAATTGCATTGGTATTTTTGTAATCATGTATGTATGTACATATTTTTAAGCTACAGGGACATGTTTAAAGCCTCTAACTTACATTTTGTGCATTATTTTATGTATTTCCCTGAAGCAGGATTTACAAGTGATCTAAAATGGGTCTGAACTGTTGATGTTCGTGAAGTAACACACCTCTTTCACTTCCTTGTTTACTTTTGGCACCTTGGGGGTAGATTCTTGTTTTGCTGAATTCAAAACATCTGGGAGCCACTAGTTGACAGCCTGTGAATTAGAGCACCGATCAGGGATGGACTAAGACACATCTCTGCCTGAGGTGCAGGACACGTGCAGGCAGCCTCCCTCACAGCACAGGGCACAAGGCTAGCCTGGGGCGTAAGTGCCAGCTGCGGGGCACACCCGGCTCTCCCTGGCCCTTGCTGCTGCACGACCACCACCAGTCCCAGGCACTGCCTGCTCAAGCACACCGAGTGCACGTGCCGTGCTGGAATAGCTGCCTCTCCACTCGGTCTGAGGCTGTTCCCAGCGATGCTTTCTGTAATGTATGGGGGGAAGCGATTTGTCAAGATGGACAAGCAGCACAAACAAGCCACACTGAGGCGGCTCGGGGAATAGGTCACCCGTGGCAACCTGAGGCAGTTGCATCACTCTAGCAGCTGGGCCCGCCTTGCACTGATGCACGGCAGCACACAATGCAAAACTGCGAACACCAAAGCAGTGTTTCAGCTGAGTGGAGCTGCCTGTGAGATGTACACTGCTTGGGTGGATAAAAAGACTTCCCTCGGCACCGAAAATACCACAGAGGTGGTGGCATTAGGTGAGCCTCAGGAGGTCTCCATGCTGCACATCACAGGAGTCCCTGCTAGAAAGATTAATCTCCTCATTTCATGATGTGGGAACTCAGAGCAGGGTCTACGAATAAAGACTTTAGGCTCAGTTAGGTACATGTGCCTTGCAGGTAACCTGGCCCCAAGACAGGGTTTAAAGATTAAAACCAGCATTTTAAATTGGGCTGGAAATGAACTTGGGGCAAGTGCAGCTGACAAAGTCCAGGAGAAATGTGGGTAAAACCCCCCAGTTTGCAAACTGCCATCTCCAAAGCGGCCTCAAAGGCATGATATGGTTCTCTAGGCCAGAGGCTGCTGGAGTTGTGGGTGAGCTGTCTCAAACTAGGGATTCTTGCAGCTGGGTTATCTGTCAAAGCTGAAAAAATGTGCTTGGGGCCACAGGATCCCTTGAGGCGCTAATGACTCTGTCCGATGAATACATACCTCCAGAGCTGACCATTTGGAGCAGGGATTTAGAAGAGTAAGACCCAGGACCAAATTGGACCTCTGGCCCCTAAGATGGTCATGCCTCCTTTCCCTGGCCCCAACCCTTCCTTCTCTGCACTGGCTTTTGTGCTGGTTTTTCCTCCTGTTCTCAGAGACTACAATGTCTCTCCCAGTGTTCATGCACTGGCAACAGTAACTTGAGAGGCAGTGTGGTGTAGCAGTTTGAGATTTGGTTGCCTGCGGCCAGACACTGGCTCTCAGCCTCACTTTCCACACAGGGCTCTGTGAGGATAAATTGGGGATAATGCAAGCCATCTGGAGTTTCTTGCAGGACAAAAAAGGGCATAAATGTAAAAAAGGGGATAATACATACATAAAAAGCTTTCAGCTACAATATGGTAGCATTTTCAGCGGCACCCCAGTATTCACTTTGAGCCTTCCCCACCATTGGAATATGTGCACAAGACTTCTCTAAAATGCAGGTCAGCCCTTGCCATTGTCTTGTCTGACTTGAGGTTCTGTTTGTTTGCCCTCCTCTGCCCAAGCACTCGATCAGGGCAGCCATGTCCTGACCTGTACCTGATGAAGGGGGGGATGAAACTGGTCGTTGTCCTTACCCTGGTGAGCCCCCAGTCCAGATTTCATGTCTGCACGGTGTGTGGATGAAGAATATGCCCAGTCCCCATTTTGTCCTTTCTCTTTTCAGAAGATGATTCAGATTCATACTCGGACTCAGACAGAAGCACAACACACTGATGAACGCCGGACAACCTGGAGAGAGAATGAGGAATGTGGCTTTTATTTTTGCCTTTGTAACCTTCTTACGAACATTTTTTCTACTTTTGTACAAAACATGACTGAACCCGCTGCCAAAGAGCCTCCAATCTCATGGGCAACTTACTCAGGCAAACTTGGCCAGCTGTTGGTTGAGCCTAGACTGGTTTTCCTCTACCCTTCGTCATTTGACCCTATGGTATAATGCATAGGTATATTTTTAAAACTGAACCTTTTATACACAGACTTAGATTCTATCATCAGCGCTGAGCGTATATAGAAGAATGTGCACCAAGCAAGCATGGAATTTGGTGCTAGGCACAGAATTCTACAGACCATGTGAACTTGGCAACCTTAAAAAATCAGTTTTCTACACTGAGACATTTTACATTTTTAAGTTTGGAAGAGGACACAAAAAGGGTCAATATTTGCTGCAAATATAGAGGAATGCAAAGAGGCTGTATTCTCACAGCTGAGGAGTAATGGAGTAAGCAGCCGCAAGACACCTCGTATCCTGGCCTCTCCAGTTTCTTCCTCTTCCTGTGCCTTTTTACTCACCTGCAAAGTCAGTTCCTGATGTTGGAGGCAGCTAGAACAGTTATTTTCGTGTCAGCTGCAAGGGGGAAAGAGAGTGGGTTAGAAACTCAGATTCCGGGCTTTGAGGTCAGAAAACCTATCTTCTTCGTCTGGCAGTGCAAACTATCCTGCAGTCCCTCAGATGCTGTCTGGGAGCCACAGAAATGTGTCCTTTATTACTTTAGAACAACTCTGTCAGGCAAGTATGTAGGGATGAGAAATCCATTGCCTTCACATTTTAATGCAAAATTACCCAGTTGCACCCCCGTAACAAGAAACTAAACACAATTTGTCATCAGAAATCCACACTTAACAAGTTTGCAATGCATTCCATAAGATAAGCATTTTAAGAGTGGAGTTCTTTCTGCACCAGCTACACTGTGTGTGTGGGTGTGGGGAGGGGGAACACCTCCAATTCTCAGCGCTGTCTTTGGGAATCAGATCCTGAGTCCCTTTTGTGGGTCAATTCAATTTCTGATCTTTTCCCTATCCACATTCAGCGCTTTATAACTGCTGCTACATTCCTGAAATGTCAGAAAAACATTCTTCACCAAACATGAATTTTAAAAATCTAAGCGTGTGCATTTTGCACTCCTATCACGGCATCATGATGACAGCAGGAATAAAGTGGAGTTGCATCTACTGCCCTTATTGCTTGTCACTTCCTGGCTGGTCATTTGGGGGACCCCTAGACTCGGGGGCCCTGTGCTTCAAGGCCGAGTCGCACCACCACTGAGGCCACCTCCTGTCCACCAGTTCTGTACTGTATATGCCCCCCTTTCTGTGCACACACAGCGCCCCAAACCATTTCCTCCTCTGCAAAGTATAAAAAGATATAGTCGTCCACCAGAATGCTGGAAGAATAAATGGAATGGAGGACTAGAAAACGGGCCAAGCCTCCCTACTCTTCACCACAAGATCTGCATTTCTAGAGCTCCTTGTGCGGAAAACAGCCCCAGAGTTCCTGCCCAGTTTGCATGCACCATGTAGGAAGTCCCTAAAGTGTGGCACACTTGAGTTATGCATAGTCTTGCTTTCCTGTACACATCCTGTTTTGACCCTTTTTAAAGGAAATGTTATGGCTCAGTAGTGCAGCGTACGCTGTGGAAGCTGCTCTTTGCACTGGGAGAAAAGCTCCCACTGACACCAATGGGTGACTCCCCTCACCAGCTTCAGAAAAAGTAATTTCCATATGACCACAGCAGGAGAGGAGGGAGTTAAACATATCCTCTGCTTGCCCCAGTGCCATTTTCATTTTTAAAAGCCTGCAAATTAGATGCAAAGGTACATTTAATATCGCATGCAGTTTGTCTTGCAGACACAAAGGGCTGTTGCAACTCAGACAACTGGGTTCTTGTGACAACTATTCTGTGCTTTCATGAAATTACTAGATTACAAGAGGGAAAGGATAGGTATTAGTGGACATTTTCAAGCACTGGCTTGAGGAAATTTGTTGTTCTTCCACTGTATGTCTGGAATTAAGTGTAATGTCTGGAACTTTAAGAGTATGCACAGAACCTCATGGCGACAAGCAGAAGGTGCCTCAGCTGTGTTGTATGTGGGCTTGTGCCACAGGTACCAAAGATCTGCCTTTGAACTTGCCTTGTAGCAACAAAAGTCTGGCACGTTGCTAAATTTTCTAAGTTTAGTTCTCTAAGCCCAGTGCTGTTCCTATTTATACAAAATGTGTAATAGAAGAGGTGAAAAGGAAAAAAAACTGGTGTACAGATATATGAGAATTGTAATAGTTTACAGTACCAAAGATTAACTGAAACAGCAGCTGCAGTTCTAAAGAATCGCTACACACATGGGAACATCACTTCTAAGGTACAATTACCTGAGTATATACCCATAAAGAAAACCAGGCACAAAAGGTCCTTTTTAATGAGCTACATGAATAGTTCCATTCACTATGTTATAAATATACAGGAGAAAAAAGCTACTGAAACTTGGGATGCGTTAAGGGTGCAATCTTGTGCATGTGCACACACAAATAAATAATTAGGCCTATGCCTACAAGCCCGTCCACCAGAAGCACAGAATCCTGTTCACACGAGATCATGCCACTTGATTCTTCACCAGACAGGCAGCATCTGGAGCAGTTTTGAGGCAACACGTTTTTTAAAGTACTTGAACAAATGAGCATGTCCAGAGAAGAACAACCAAGGCAAAGGAGATCAACTCTTATGAGACATGTTTAAGGAGCTGGATATGCTTGGCCAGAAGACGAGGGTATTTGTTTAGCAGTTATGGGATGATAGCCCTTCTTAAAATATCTGAAGGGCCATCACACAGAAAATGGAATCCGCTGCTCCGGGGGAAAGGAGTACAACCAGTGGGTGGTAATTATAACGAAGTAGATAATCGCTGAACATTAGAAGAAACAGTCTAATAACAAGTGCTGCTGAACAGTGAAACAGATCATCTCAGGCAGTTGTGGGCTCACCTTTGCTGGAAATATTTAAGGAGAGGTTTTATCGCCATCTGTTTAGAGTAGAATGATGTAGTCACATCCTGCACTGAGCAAAGAGGGGCTAGATGACTTCTGAGGACATTTCCAACCTTTTGTGTCAGCTTTCCGTCTATTGAAGGGAATTATCACACAATGTATTGTTATACAGTATTTACCACTTATACAACGTCACAATGCATGAAATAATAGCTTTGTACATAGAGAGGTTGCTAAGATAAAACTTCAGTGTATATTGCTAGTAGGCTCCCTAGCAGTAAGACAAGGTGCTTTTCAGAATTGGCTTTGCTTGAGAATAGTGTTCCTGAGGGCTGGCTCCTTCAGTGTAACTAGCAGCTCTGCCATGGTCTGAGGCATATGCCTTAAACATTTTATATTTCTCCCTCTTTCTACAGGCATTTGAATGTGATTTTATATATACCCATGTATTTTCAGTTTTCATCTTGTATGTCAAAACCAGCACTGGGTTGGCATTTATGAATCATGCTGGAATAAACTGTTGATACCAGATTAAATATGTAGCTTTATTTCAGAGGTCTTTGAATGCTCAGTCAGCTCTCACTAGGTAAGCTTGAGTCCAGAAATATTTGGGTAGCTTGGGAGAGGGATTGTAGTAGGTTTTCTAGACAATATTTGGTTTAATTACCCCTTTTCCAAAGCAGATAATGAAGGAACACAATCCAGCCTTTTCTCATTTTGAATGGTTTCTGAAGATATTTGACCCACATTTTGGTATGTGAATCTCCTATATTTATATAGATAAAACTCACTGATTATACTCAAGGTCTTGCTTGAGTCCAAAGCTGTGATGTGTAGAAAGGTTACATGGGCCAAGCTACTAGATACTCAGGTACCTAAATTGTCCATGAATGCTTTAATGGACTCATGAGTGACAAGGTCTCTGGCCTTGTTTTGAGAGTGTTCTGTGTTCAGCTCTCCGTAGCGCCATCTCCATTGCAGCTTCAGTCTTTGAAAAATCTACACACTCTTGAACTTCATTGGTAGTTTACCTACAGAAATCTAAAGCAGTGGCCATTATTCTATTTGGTTTCCCTAGTTTACCAAATGCATATACAAAGGAAGCGCAGACTTTTTTTTTACTTCTATCCATTTATTAAACAAATCTTTACAATGATTCCATACAAGATTAGTGTTCAGAAAATCTATGATTTTCCCTACATACAAAAATACAGTTTTTTAAAAAAACACTATGAAAACAAACAAGTACCATGAGAGTTCAGTATCTTGGTGTATCAAATAGAACAGAAAAATTAGCATAAATCAAAAGGCAGGAAGATAGCAACATTAAATTGTAAATTACAAAAAAGTGCCAATATACAAAGCAATACTGATAAAATACATTGCAGGAGAATAAATTTTAAAACACATAATCAAGCAGCAATTTAGTGATTGCCTTCAGTATCACAATAAGTAAAAATCATTACAATCCTTCATTTTAAACTTGATACCTGTGTACTAATATTGCAAATGAAAAGCAAGTGCATGACATGCAGCTGTTACTTGTCTTGATAACGGTTCGGAGTGGCTGAACTAAACTTTAGAAAGGCTTTCACAGCACAAACAAGTTCTCTCATATATGGACCCAGAAGGAACTTCCTATATGCTCAAGTTGTTACTTTCTGCACTAAACGAAAAAGGCAAGAAACAAAGAGACAACTCCTGACTAAAATGGTAAGGGTGCTCCTGACTAAAATGCCCCCCACACCCACTGGAAGGATGCAAGTGGGGCTGGAATACCACAGCTGCAATGGTGTTTCAGATCAACCTCTAGACCAGCCACACAAACTGATGGCCCTCAAACGCTTACTATATATGACTGGAGCACCATGCAGCTCCTTCCAACCTACTCTAAGAATGCTTGTTAGGAGGCAGGAAGGCAAGCAGGCATGCCAAACATCACTCCATCCTGTGCCACCCCGGCAATGTGTGAATCAGACCTATGATGGCCGCATCAGATGCGGATACAGATCCCAAATGGCTCAAAAATGACACCAGTCTAGAGAGCAAAATAAAGGATTACAATGGAAATTTGTGTAATAACGACATCATTCTGAGGGTGGATTTTGCTAGTGTAAACATGTTACAATTTCTATCTAGATCAGCTCTGAAATTTGACCAGTCTGTGTCAAAATAATGTGAAAACCCAGGATCAAGGCAAGCTCATCTGAAATCCGTAGCAACACCTACAACAAGGTTACAACTCGAACAACTTTTTAGCCTTAGTTCTAAGTACAAGTGCAAAGTCCCAAGCATTTCACTTATCATTTTTTGTTCAGACTCAACCTAGTAATATAGCTCTAAGCACATGATTGCAACCACAGCAATTTGGAAGTTAGAACATTCATGTCTATGGGTCTTGCTTCCAAGAGTGTTTCGTATAATGGAGCCAGGCTTTGGATTCTCTTACCCTCTTCTGTACTCATTAGGAATGTTTGAATTATTTCACAGCACCCAATAAATCTAGAGAGAATTATTAAGAGCAGCTGCACACTACCATAAAAGAAAACTGGACCCATTCTACCTAACCCAAGAGTTGCCCAATTAAAAATAAATTTAACTCCAGATTAAAGTATTTTTATAAGCCTTTTTTGAGCTTCCTGTCATCGACATTGACTGAAACACAAAGCTCTAAGCAAGAAATTAAGAGCAATGCACAGGTTTTAAAGCATATATAATAAACTATATAACTTAATATAAAGCAACCCAAATTTTGACTTCCAGATATGCTTACAAATAAGCCTCAAAGATCTTGACAGAGAAATACCTAAAACACAAGACAACAAAATCCATGGAAAATTCAGGTAACATTTTTGGTCACAAACCTTTTCTTTGTGAAGAGGCCAGCTGGAGCTCAGTTTCAGTCAATGCAACGGAGACAGATATGGACTACTTAGACTGGACAAGGAAACAGAATGTGCAATTTTACCTTAGCATAGACTGGAAACTGTTGTAGCTGATGGAAGAATTGCCTGTTCACGACCTTCAAAGTATTGCCTTGGGCTGGCCCAGAAACTGGGTACTTCCCCTTTCCTCCCTGTTTCCATTGGTCCCACCAATAGCCCAACAAACCTTTTTTATATTCGGCACAGATCAATACGGGTCTTTCACCAAACTACTTCTACTTCCTGCTAAAAATACTGGATTTGCATCATGGCAACACAGCAGGAGTAAACCTTCCAGTTCTACTTAGGAAGTACAAGATTTAGTGCACAGGCCAAAAAGTAGCCTGGGGAATCCATTAAGGCTGCTGTTTAACAGAATTATTTTAAAACCACAATGTGTTAGCAATTCATGGTTACAAAAATAGTGTTTGCGTGGAGGACCTCTATTTGACTGAGAAGTACTTGCACCATATATACACAAAACACACAAAGGCACCCTAGGTGAAATATGTTTGACAACTCATATGAAAGGCAGGACAAGGATCAACTTCTCAAATCCAAACTGGGACAATAAAATGAGTAATAAATATACAGTTTACAATTCATTATTGTATTATATCAGTTACATAAACTTCAATATATACAAATAAGTTCCATCCACAATTATTCAGAAGAGGAGAAACTTGTCTGCAAAAGACAATTTAAGTGCATCATTTATTCCAGACTAAATGACTGTATGGGAGTTATCACAGAGGTCATCAAACCAATAAACAAATATCAAGCATGCACTACTGTTCACAAACGACAATCTTTCACCAAAAGGTGCACAAGCAACAGTGCCCTGGGAGTCCATGACATACAATTAAGGGAGTGTAAACATGCAAGTCCCAAATACAAACACAGGACAAATGAAGTCAGCACTTAAAAATGCAAGCTGGGATATTATAGTGTGAGAACTACTCTGGCCCTGGAAATATCAGCTCCATTTAGTGTTACTAGTATTTAATTTAAGCATGGAAGCTCTCAAACCCTCTGGCAGAATACAAATGGACTCTCTGGCAGGACACAAATGAGATGAACCTCCCTATAATTCACAACACAGCCCTATATAGATCAACTTAAAGCAAATGCCATTGCTTTCAGGTAAGTGGGTATAAAGCAAATGAAAGACAAAGTTTACTTTTCGGCAGAGCTCATAACTCCTGTCTCATGCATAAGAACCAGACAGAGAAACAGAAAAGGAAAGGAAAAAAAGATGGATTTTCAAGTCCAAGGAGAAAAAAAAGGATTTTCCTCCACGGTGCGTGCACGCACATGCATTCTCTGCCAGAGAAAACAGAAAAGAAAAAAAACACAGAGGTCCCTGTCATGTTGGCACTGCCTTCCAGTTCAATTAAGGCTGAGCAGGACATACTAAGTGAGAGGTTTCTTATCCTTTGCTTGCACCTTTACTGAAAGGCCCACATCAAGAATCCAGAGTTTTCAAATTGTATCATACATATAAAAGGTGGGTTTTTTTTAAAGATTACAATCTAAATCAGGGGTCTCCAACTCGTGGCCCGCGGGCCAATTGCCGGGATGGGCGGAGCACGGGGGAGGGGCCCTGCGGCCTTCAAAGCGCCGGCGGTGCCCAGGCCGGCCGTGGGATGAGCAGCCCACCACCGCCGCGGTGGTGGAATACTTGATGCGGCCCAGCCTCACCCAGACTCTACTTCCAGCGGCCCCCAGGTAAGTTGAGTTTGAGACCCCTGATCTAAATAATTTCCTTCTGGGTAAATTTATGACCTTGACATTCAATAGTGCGATTCCAAGATAATAATTTTGTAGAATATAAATCACAAAACTAACTAGTTTGATCGTATCACAAGTCATATTTCCTTCAAGCCATCTAATTCTGTGCCTTTTCAAGCCATGAATAAAATTAATAGCAAACCGTATTGTCTTCTATACAATCGCCTGTAGCTGCCAAACATAGGTAGATCTTCAAGTTCTTGTTTATCACCTTGGCAGCCTTCCCAACCAGGTGATATCCGGCTATTTTGACTACAACACCCAACATTCCCTGTCAACATGATCAATGATCTGGATTATGCATGATATGTTCCAAAATATCAGGAAGATGCAAGATTAGAGAAGGCTGAACTAGAGGTTTAGTATAACTGTAAAGACCAGACCTGGCTACTGAAACCACAACTCTCAAGATCTAAATTTTGCCTTTAGTTCTTACATCTTCATTATTAACAAAGAATCAAGGCTACAGAATGCATTTTTTGCCAAGTTTAAAATAGTATACTTCATATGGGCAGGAGACTGAAGAAGCCCAAAGCAGGGAGATATGGAGAGTGGAAGCGTTATTCAGGTACCACAAATTGCTTAACTGCTTAAAAGCCAAGTAAAGACTTCCAAGCCAAGTAAAGACAAGCTGTCTATTAGATGAGTGATTACTGTACGCACTTCACAAACTCGACAGAAGTACATATTATTAATGAAGTGGTTTATTTGGTTCTTGAAACTGATTCAATCAGCCTTTTGAAAAACAAAACCACTTGCCTTGAAACAGTGCCACTAGGCAAAATGTGCGAGTTGTCCCACGTATCCATCCTAGAGCAAATGCACGGTCCGAGAATGTTTCCAGACTAGAGGCTTCTAGTGTGACTATAATACAGCTATTATATCTTTTCTTCCTTAATTTTTGGTGTTAAGAAGAAGAATGTACAGCAGGGGAGGGGGGGACATTGGAGAGTTAAAAGTGGAAGAACAAGTCTAGATGCTTATAGAAGTCTATGACAGGGTGACTGCACAGCAAAAGCCGCATCTGGGGATTCCCTGACTCCCTACCCACCAAGAGCTACAGAAAGCAAATCCAGCTCTTACACCAGGAAAGTCATGGCAGTGGGGTAATCCAGCACCTCTCCTAACACTGTGCAGATACTAACATATCAGTTGGACTGGTGATTAAACATGTACAATGGAATTTTAAAACTCTACTGAGATATATAAATACTCAAACAGAATCTCATACCTTATTACATTAAAGATAGTTTCACCTTAAAATGCCTTGTTAAAAAGGATATTCAGCCTCCAAAGTCACTTCAGCCATCTTTCCCCACGACAACTTTACATTCTGTACACAATCAAGTGTCAGTTTTATATTGATCATACTTAGCCTTCCCATATAGATCTTCAACCCATATGGTCCTAAAGATAGTGCCAGATTAAATTGTACTTAGCTGCAAAAGAAGAAAAGAAACCCTTAAACTAGTTGTTTAGAATAAGGCAACAAGCTGGATGAAAATATGCCAAACTTACAAGGAAATATCCTGTTACCATCTGTAAGTCTTTTGAATATCCTTGTCATGTTGTATATTTCCATTTTAACATAATTATTCTTAACAGAAACTAGAAAGCTATTTTGAGTGTGCCCAGTGGTTTCAACACACCCAGTCCAATGTTTTATTTTTTTTTTTTTCTTTGAATAGCAAACTCCTCCACCAACTGCTCTGCTTTTGAAAGTCCTCTGTATGCTAAGCTTTGTACATGGTTCCTGGGAATCACACTCTAATAATCAACCCTCCTTCCCCTCAAACTGAACAGAATTCTAAAATCAAAGCCCCAGCACTTTACAACAGTGTTGCACAGAAATAACATTGCAGTGAGAGTGATAAAGATAAAAGTAGAAACATTACAAAAATGTTTGCAAATCTGTGCTCCATGGCTGCCTTAATTGCACTGAATCATATTGTCAAAGAATACTTGGTTAAGGGATTTTGTTTTTGTTATTTATACCTTCATGCCACACATAACCCTTTCACATTTTAATCCCTCTCCAATCTGAATATTCTAAAATGTAAATTAAAACTGCATGTTTATTTGTACATGTAAAGTCCTTCCTCAAAAAGTCCTTTTTAAAGCCCAGTACATTAACCAAAAGCTTTAGAAATGTATTTTCTTTGTTATTGTTAATGTAGCCAGGATTTTTATGAAGGAAAAAACAAAAGGTACTGGCCAAACTATCTACAGAAAATGAAGATACGTATTATACTGTATTGGAAGAATCACAGAGAAATAAGAGTGCTTCCATAACTCACATTTTACCCTGCTAACATGTGATACCATACATATAGGTCAAAGAATACATAGTTATCAGGATATGTAAGCTCAAGCAAACTGAGTATTTATTTATTTGTTTGTTTATTAAATGCTTTTGTATGCCGTCCTATTATACCAAAATCTCAGGACAGCTTACAAGGATTCCTGCTCAATAAGCAGCCAGCAGTCGTGAAGGGTATTTTGTAAGTGCTCACTCTGATAAAAATTTAATGCATTAATTTCCATGTTTACTTGTGACAGTTCACAAGATCTCCTGCAGAAACAGATTAATTAAGGGCACTGGGTTACTGGAGGATCATACAATGATTATCAGGGAGTTTCCACCCTTTTTAAAAACCAGACAACAAACTGAGTATACTTCTGTTATTTGACTAAGTCAACCAAGCCAACAAGCAGTGTCCTCCCATTACTCAATTCTGAGAAAAGTTCTCACCCAAAACTAGAAAATTAATAAAAAGTGTGTAATATGTTGACAAAAGCATCTGAGATTACTAAAATATATTGCTACATTAAACCACTGAGTCCAGTCGCTTAAATGTGTGCAATTTTAAATTAATGCTTCAGAACTGACATGAATGATCTTGTTTTTACTGTCTCCAGCAATGACCAAAATAGTAATACCCAGCTAAAATACTACCCTTGGTATCTATTTGATCACCAGAAACAGTTTTCAGTCCATAAAGTGATACCCTTCTGCAACCAATTTGTGAAGAATCAGCAGCCCCTAACCACTCACCTGCTGAATGTATCATGTACATCATGTAATCAAGTGTGAAATCAAGTGTACAGTATAGCTGTTGGCTTTCAGAACCACCATTTAAAGAGTCTGATGAACCATCCAAATCTTTCTGAAGAAATCAGGACTGCATGTACAAAAAATGGCTCTCTGTGTGTTGAGACAGAGATGATTCTTTCCCAATGGAAGGGAAATTCTTTGACCAATTATGAAAATTGGGTATGCATTAATTTGGTATACCTCATACTGCTTCTGCTAACCACTGGATCTATGCAGAGAAATGGATTTCCCTAACTCCAGCTTCCATGGGACGACATGCTCCAAACATGCTTTTTCAACAAACAAAAGCTCCTCTACTTTTCCCCACTGCCCAGAGGTAAATCAGCCTTCAGCTGAGAGGTAGAGAACAGTTCTATGAAGGTGGACGGATGGAATATATTTTATGCCTGTCCCCTCCCAAGCATCCAGATGTGGAAGCTGTGACTTCCTCACTACTGGGTGAGGACAGGGAGGGAAGGAAAGAGGTTTTAACACACACTTCCTACCACGAGTGACTCCATGTCCAGATTTCAGTGAAAAGGGAGGAAAGCTTTAAATTTCCACCTTTTAACTGATGTGTACAGATGTGTGCATGGATATATCCCTTGGGGACAAAAGGCTTGCTGACTTCTGTCCAATACCATCCAGCATGGTCAGCAAATATAGGAATGGGGAATCGCGTGTTCTGCAATTAGCAACAGTCAACCAACATTCAGTATTCTATCTCCTGGCTTTATCAAGACACAAACAGAATGTGATCTTGGAAAAACACAAAGCAGAAGCCTATGCCAACCTTTTCCTAGGTAGTACCCTCCAATGTCTTGGCCTACAAATTCCCATCAGCCCCAATCAACATGAACAATGGTCAGCAATGGGAAAGTTGTCATCCAAAACATCTGGAGGAAATCACTTTTGGAATGCTGGTCTACACCATCATTAGGGAAACATTCCTGACATTTTGAGAAAAATGGCTATCAATTTTTATTAACTTCACATATTAATCTTGTGGTTGACCTAAACACCGGATGCCAAAGACACAAAACAAAAAGCTAAAGAGATTCTAATTACCGGCTCCAAGTTCCCTACCACACAGTGCATTTTTTTCCCCTATGAAATCTTGCTGGGAAGATGAAGAGAGACCTGGAGTTATATAGAATGGTATGTAAACTAAGTGGACCACATAAATGCTATCCCGTTCGTGTTCACTGGCAAAAATAAATTTTCATCTGTAGTCAATTACTGACACATTTTGTAGATTTGCTTTTATGCCTAAAAGTTATTGTTTAACTATCCCCAACTAAATTAGTCATATAATTTTATTTTTTTAAATCAACCTGATTTGGGCAATTGAAATTTGCAGCCAAACAAAAGTTCTCAGCCTAATTACATGATTTCGGAAACACTGCTGTACATGGACACAACACAAACATTCCTTAACGCTGACCACAATGAGACTTTCCTATGTTTGACTATAAAAAGAAAAAAAAAGACTTGGTACAGACTTTGATAAACAAAGAAGCTCATTGTCAATTTTGCACTACTCTCTTACAAAGCAAAAAAGGAAATGTAGTAAATGGAGGCGTTATACCAATGGACACATGGTTATGACCACAAGTAAACTTAGTTCATTCTCTGTAGTTGAAAGCTTATTTAGTTAACATTGCCCGATGCTCTCAATAAAAAGTTGAAGATATACAGCAGAACTGTAAGAGTTTGAGAACTGAAGTTATCTGGGAAAACTTGTTATGTAGCAGTTATGTAACCCAATACCTGATGTATGTTATTGCTATCTTTCTTTCCAATGCATTATGTCTATTGTTGGAAATTATCCATTCCAAAAGTAAAATCTAAGGCCAGTGTTAATTTTAATGTTTCTACTTAATGACAGGAATGTAGACTAAACACCAAGTCCTTCTGAGTTTGCAATCTCAAGAAAATATTGTGCACCAAGACAGATCTTCCCTCCAATGTCTCCTCCTCTCCTCCATATTTATGGACAAATATCTTCATTAGAAAAGGTAAGCCACTGTAACCTTCATGTCAATTGCTTCTCAATCCTCCCTCTCTGGGCATGCAGATGCTCTTGGCCACCGCATCTTCATCTTCATTTCCTATAAAAGTGAATAACTTGTTAAAGAAAAAAAAGGACTGCATGCTTCTACTTTTCTTTTTCTTAAGGAAATCCCACGTTGCATATGATTTTCACCCATCCAAACGCTGAATCTCTGGGCAATGATCTACTTCTCTGGATTCTGTCCGAGCACGCATATAATCACTGGTCTGTCGTGTATTTTGTGGTTGGCTGTTAATTCTCCAATTTTTAACTGCTAAAAATGAATTCACAGCATAGACTGTGGTTGCCAGAAAGCCAAATACCTAAAGGGGGAAAGCAGAGAAAGGCCATTTTACTGACATGAATAGTGACTCTCCTTTAACAGAGTAAGACTTCAGCAGTTTCATGCAGAAACATTGCAGCTGCATTGCTGCCTTAACGTTTTTGTCAACTTCGTAGAACTGTAATGCCCAAAATACAGAGCATAGTCACACCCCATGCCTCTGCAAAGTCCTTTAAACACAAACCAAGAAATATTATGCCTGTTCCTTTTCTGATTGGGCAAACTCAAGATATCTGACCATTCTTAATATGACCTCATTTGAGCCATAAATTAAAGAATCCACGTACCACAAATATTTTCCACTAATGATCACAGGATAGCCATTTATGCATCAGAAATATTTAATAGCTATGCTAGTTAGAGAAAGGAAAAACTTCCTCATGCATCTGATTTGTTAGTTTTTATGTACTACAAGACTGCATTTATTAGGTATGAGGGTCTTCATATTACCTATAGTCTGTTTGTGGCTCTCTGCTTCTTTTAGGCTAAACCCCATCTCCAGAGCTATTTTAAGAATGTCTCTAAAAACTAGAAACATGTCAGTTGTGATTCTGGAGACAGATTCTCTTGAAGAATGATTTAACCAGAAAGAGAGTACAGCAACAAACTCTAAGGTCTCAGAAGAGACTTCACAAAATAAAAGGGTATAGTGATGTCTCAGTCTTGTTCTTTAAGTTAAAATTATATAAAATATGGATGGCATTAATCACAGATAGATTTTGAGGCTTGTCAGAAATAAACCAACAATCCCTGCTCCGGATATGATCAAAATACTTTGAATAATAATCTCAATCATGATGGAGTTGATCTGTTTCTATTAACACTGAAATATATCAATTATTTACCTGATTGTAGCAATGGTGTCAACTCAAAAATGCTATTATGTGAACTCCTTTAATATGTAATAAGGAAAAATCCTCCAAATTTGCAATATATTGGATAATTTTAATGAGAGCATAGAGTTTTCACATTTTTTTGAACTGTCACCATTACACTCATCCTTCCTTCTCCAGAGACTTTCCTGCACTTCCTATAGCAGCCAGCATAAAGAGAAACAGCTTTGTTTGAAGCCCAAACATGAATGCCCAATAGAAATAGCATTATTAGAACTAGACTCCCCAATCTGGTATCCTCCAGATGTTTTGGGCATCACCCTCAATTCTCATGACTATCAGGAAAGCTAGCAACGGCTGTATAACACATCTGGAAGCTGCCAGGGTGAGGAAGGTTCAATAAGACCAACTCTTTAGAACTGGTGAAGATTCTTGAAAATTCCATAAAGCTCATTACCGAAAGGGGGCAGAGCTGCATAAAATGGTGATTTTGACATGACCCTGCCCATTTGTGACTGCAATAAAGCCTAAACAAACAGGCACTAGGATTTATTACTTGCAAAATATTAGCTAAGGAAAGCATATTCCATCTGTGGTCTTCTCAGTTCTTGCAAACGGGGCTGTTAAATTTACAGAATGAGAAACTGAGCAAAACATATAATGCGGCTTTGCATTGTGAGAAGGGCACAAGCGAAGCATTTATGTTTCCTGCAAAACAATATTTAAAAAGTAGTATTTTCTTACCACAGCTGCAATTTCTGCTCCTTTTTTATGGTTAAGAGCAGCGAGTACTATAGATGCAATGAAAAAAAAGAAAGTGCAGAGTCCAGTATTGACCAAATCCTATTAAAACAGAATTAGGGATGTTATTTTACAGTGATAATGTCAACTGATTACATGAAGCAGAAGTTTCACCAGTTAGACATACTGATTATTTATACAGAAGAGGAAGCAACAAAACAGAATGCATATTACAGACTGTGCCAGATGATTGCTATACTGGAAATTTGGGCCTGGGTTACTAATGAACAGAAATAATATTTGCTAGTAAAAAGTAAACATCCTGTAGCTTTTAAAAAAGGATTCCTCCCATTCTAGATGATGAACCTTTCTGCAACGCGTCAACAGAACCAAAACCACTGTTCACTCTTGAACCCACAAAAATGTTATTTCACCTAGTCACAGATTATCTATAGATTTTTTATTGTTGACTCCCTGGAAAGTTACTCATATGTCTGCCACATGTATGTATTGTACAATATAGGACATTTGTAGTACACGTCAATTTCCCTAAGAAATACAGATTCTGTATAGACCTGTATGAACACACATTTGCCATACAATGAACATCTTTTAATGTGCTTTCATGTTGCAATAATGCAAAACTCAAAAACCGCTACAGTTCAATTTTACACAATTAACTGCTGCTTAGCAATTAGGCTCAAATGCTTTCAAGCTTACAGCATTCTAAATGATGCCATTAACACACTGCTACAGGCATATTTACAGTATGAAGGGGTAGCAAGTAGAAACTTGTTTGATTATTTATTAACAAGTTAATAAAGTATGAAAAACAGTCAGGTTTATTATAATATACAGATGCAGCTGTACACCACTGCACACACACAGTTGACAAGAAACTCCAATTAGGGATACAGATTACATTCTGAATACTCTCTCACAGAAATAAACTTCATGATCACTTTCATCTGTTCCATTTTTTCTCCCAAACTCATTTTTCAGTGCAGAAGCAGATTCAATGCCTTTGGAATGTATTTGCCCAGGATCAAAGTTAAAGATTCTAACTTAATGGAAGGAAATTGCCCACATGAACCAAAAAGATTAGATTTTTCTAGCTCCTTATTACAATTAGATGGGACTACAGGTAAAGCTCAGGTTAAGATAAGCTGAGAATAGAAAACATCAAAATAAGTTATCTGATCCTATAAGGACAATGCAACATGATGTATTCTATCAAATTAAGGAGAGAGATTTCCTCAATATGTTGATAGACAGTATAATCCTGAGGGACAGGCATATTCAAATAACTTAATTACAGATGATCAGTTGTGCCCACACTGGTGGCTTTTTTGTATTGTAGCCTCTATGATGCACCCAGAAAAAAGCTGATTCTTTGCTCTGGACTTTGGGAAAATAATTTATGATCTCATGGTTTTCTAAATGACAGATCCCTTCGCACAACTAGCAAATTCTCCATGTCAGATATTTACCATATCTGATGTTATACCCACTTCATGGATCACTGCCTTGCCGTAGCAAAGGGGCTTGCGTAGTACAATGAAGCTATGAGCTATGCAGTGCAGGGGCACCCAAGACGGACAGAGCAGAGAGCTCTGACAAAAGGTGATCCACTAGAGAAGGAAATGGCAACCCACTCCAGTATCCTTGCCATGAAATCCCCATGGATGGTACCAAAAGGCAAAGAGATATGATGCCGGAAGATGAGCACCTCAGGTCAGAAGGTGTCCAATATGCTACTGGGGAAGAGCAGAGGGCTAATACTAGTAGTGCCAGAAAGAATGAAACGGCTGGGTCAAAGCTGAAAGGACACTCAGTTGCGGATGTATCTGGTGGTGAAAGGAGAGTCCAATGCTGCAAGGAACGTGGAATGTAAGATCCATGAATCAAGGTAAGTTGGACGTGGTCAAACATGAGATGACAAGATTGAACATCGACATCTTGGAAATCAGTGAACTAAAATGGGCAGGAATGAGTGAATTTAATTCAGATGACCATCACATATACTACTGAAGGCAAGAATCCCTCAGAAAAGATGGAGCAGCCTTCATAGTCAATAAAACAGTAAGGAAAAGCAGTACTGGGATACAATCTCCAAAATGACAGAATGATCACAGTTTGAATCCAAGGTAAACCATTCAACATCACAATAGTCCAAGTCTATGCCCCAACCACTGATGAAGAGGTTGAAGTTGACCTGTTCTATGAAGGTCTACAACACCTTCTAGAATTAACACCAAAAAATTATGTCCTAATCATCATGGGGGACTGGAATGCTAAAGTAGGAAGCCAAAAGATAACTGGAATAACAGGCAAGTTTGGCCTTGGAGTACAAAATGAAGCAAGGCAAAGGCTAGCAAATTTTTGTCAAGAGGACACACTGGTCATAGTAAACACTCCAACAACCCAAGAGACGACTCTATACATGGACAGCACCAGACGGTCAACACAGAAATCAGATTGACTATGTGCTCTGCAGCCAAAGATGGAGAAGCTCTATACAGTCAGTAAAACTAGACCAGGAGCTGACTGTGGCTCAGATCATGCACTTCTTGTTGCAAAATTTAGGCTTAAGTTGAAGAAAGTAGGGAAAAGCACTAGACCACTCCGGTATGACCTATATCATATCCCTGATGAATATACAGTAGAGGTGACAAATAGATTTAAGGAATTAGATCTGATAGACAGAGTACCTGAAGAACTATGGACAGAGGTTCACAACATTGTACAAGAGGAAGCAACTAAAACCATCCCAAGAAAAAGAAATTGAAAAGAATTTGCAAGAAAGAAAAACGGCTATCTGAGGAAGCTTTACAAATAGATGAAGAAAGAAGGGAAATGAAAGGCAAGGGAGAAAGATACACCAAATTGAATGCAGAATTCCAGAGAACAGCTAATACCCCACCATAAAAAGCATTATACAAACAGTAAATAGAGTATCAGGCAATTTGAAAAAGATGAGTCATTTTGAATTAGACCAAAGCAAATACTTTACTTTTGTTTTTTGTTTGTTTTTATATAATTTTATGGAATTGTTATTATTTTATTGGTATTAATTGTACATTTGTGAGCTGTCCCACGATGCCGAGGCATGTGGTGATGGCATATAAAAGTTTTAAATAAATAAATACAAGATTTTTAGCAAAAAGCAAAACACATCACACACAAAAAAGTGTTTCATTTGAAGTAAGTGCAACTTCAAAGCAGAAACTATTTTCATTAATTAGTTCATAGGAGAGAAATCCAGAAGGGCATCTAGGATTAAAATCAAAGTTGATATAGATTGCAATTGTCCTTCATCCCATTCATAAATGATTTAATGAAAAACTGCAATTTGCTGTAACCTTCTTATTACAGGTCATATTGTTCCATATTTCAGTAAGTCATACTAGCTACACTGATACAAGGGAAAGAAATGTCTAAATTATGAAAGCAATTATTTTAATTTTTTATCTCTATAGATGATCCTTGGCCGGTTATCTAGGCCAGTTATCCTAACCCCTGGATTACAAAATGATCCTCAAAGTGGCAGTTTCTTCAATTATTGGCAGCCTTTTCATTTGCTGGTTCAAGTCTTTATTTTCCTTTGTTAGGCACAGTGCTGAATACTGAGGTGAAGCTGGGCTTCTCAGAGCAACACAGAACATTATACAAAATATCCAAATATTTAAAAGAATTTTATATCAGATGCAGAAATATGCATTCATCATATTATGTCAAAGACCAGCATTATTCTCTGGGCTACTTCCAATGATGTTTTTCCTACACTGACAGAAATACAGGTGGAAAAGGCTACACATGAATAAAAAAATACATCTACAGGATACTGCTTGCCAATCAGAAAACCAAATCTCTATGGATTCTTTGCTGTATTATAATTTCCCCACCCCAAAATTATTTTCTTAAAATAGAAAAGGTACAGAACAAATTGGAACGTAAGAAAAAAACGAGATAGAATTGACAAGGGATCTTAAATAAGTATCACCTATACATTCATAGCCTGTAAACTTCCAAAGAGACCAAAAGTTTCTATCTTTCTGTCAATCGATACTTCTGTTGAAACTTGGAAAAAGAATTATTATTCTTCTCAATATGAACAAATTTTCCAGTCACTTCAAATCAATCATAAAGCATCGACAATACTTTAATGAACTTCCTTTTACATATTAGTTATACTAGATATAATAGTTTTTCCATTTACCATTAAATTCTTCAATCTGTTTTTTGTTCATATAACTAGTTAATTTTGCCATCACTGCATACTCAGCCAACCTATTTTTCCAGTCTTCAGTTGTTGGGCATTCTAGTGTTTTCCATTTAGAAGCTTTGTAATATGACCCATTCTTAAGAGTTAACATTAGTAAACCAAATTAACCAAGCCAATTATGAATTCCAGTTAAAATTAGAACAGTCTACGGACTGAAGCTGCATGAACTGTCTTTCCAAAACACTTTAGAAAAATCATGCTCAGAATCTAGCAGGCTCCTATAAGTTTAGATGCCTTAGCAGAGTTTTTTGGAGAAATGTGTACATAAACCATCTGACTCAAGCTAAGGGTTGATATGCAGCAAATAAGAAACAGCAGGACTCTGGAGGCCACTGTATCACCCCTGTATTCCCCCCAGCTATGTTAAACAAACAAACATCCAGAGCAGTTATGGAGCACCAAATGGGTCAAAATTATTTTTTATCTTTTTGGAGCTCTGTAATAGGTAAAAGGGACTGCAGGTGGCACAGTGGTTTAAACTGCTGTGCTGCTGGGCTGGTTGATCGAAAGGTCACCGGTTCGAGTCTGCACAACGGGGTGAGTTCCCGTTGCTCCTTCCCAGCTCCTGCCAACCTTGCAGTTCGAAAGCATGCAAATGCAAGTAGATAAAAAGGTGCCACTTTGGTGGGAAGGTAACAGTGCCGCCCTTTGGTGTTTAGTCATGCCGGCCCCATGGCCATGGAGACCGTCTACGGACAAACGCTGGCTGCCTCGGCCAGGAAACGGAGATGAGCACCGCCTCCGAGAGTCAGGCATGACTGGACGTCATGTCAAGGGGAAACCTTTACCTTCAATAGGTAAAAAGCATTAAGTGTCT